ATGCTCGTCTCGCTAGCGCGCAGCAGCCGCGTCAACGCGCGCGTGTTGTCCGCGGCTCTCTCCTGGAGCGCCTCTTCGATTTCAAGGATGTCGCCCTCGACAGGCAGGTCGAGCACCTCGAGCGACGCGCTGCCCTGCGCCGCCTCCAGCAGCGCGCACAGCTCCGACGTGGCGACGCGGACGCTCCAGTGCCCTCGCAGCTCCAGACGCTGCAGGACCGCGCTGTCCCGCACCAGCGCCGCCAGCTGTGCACCGTGCGGGCTGCGGAACCACACGGGCTCACTGACCTCGCGCACGACCAGCACGTTGTCGATCACGAGCGCCCGCAGCTGCGTCAGCTCGTTCCAGCCGTCCACGAAGAACAGCTCCGACTCCCTCGCGTCGAACACCTCCAGGTTGGGGGGGAGTCTGTACTCGGCCAAACAGTCCTCCGGCTCGAACTCGGTGCCGTACAGGGACAGGTGCCGCAGCTCCGCGGCGCCCGACATCCACTCCACGAACGACCGCGTCCCCTCCGCCCCGAAGTACGCGCGGGACACGTCCACCCGTCGCAGCCGTGGGCACCCGCGCAGCACTCGCACCAGCTCGACTCCGACCGGGCCGTCCTTCGCGGCAAGCCGATAATCTCTGGTGACGCAGACCTCCAGGTGCTCCAGCGCCGGCAGCCCCTGCAGCACCGGCGCCAGCTTCGCCACGTGCTTCTCCGCCCACGCGTGCCTGATCTTCAGGCACCGCAGCGAGCCGTGCACCGCCGGGGACGCCAGGACGTGCTGCAGCGACATCAGCTCCATCGCCCCGAAGCCCTCGCCGGCCTTGACCTCGACCGACGGCAGCACCAGCCTCGTCACCTGCAGCGCGCCTGGGTCCTCCATCTGCGACGCGGCCTCGACCACCCCGTACACGTGCTGCCACCACACCGTTGTCTGGTGCACCCACGGCTCCGTCTTCCTCGGAGGGGTCCCGATGTCCCTCAGCGCCCCCACCAGCGCCCCCGCGTGCCTCGCCGACACCCCCACGCCGCAGCACTCCACCGACCCCTTCCAAGCACCGCCCCGCTCGAGCCGCGCGAGCAGCGGGGTCACGAACGCGTCGTCCAGGCCCATGCGCAGCGTCGCGTCGCTCCCGCGCAGCACCGCCTCCAGCGTGCTCCATGACGCCCCCGCCAGGCTGGCCTTGTCCTCCGCACGCAGCCGGCCCAGCACGCCCTCGGGCACCTCCCACAGCACCCGCTCAAACAGTGCCCCGGTGTCACTCCGTGCGCTCTGCAACGTCGCCGCCGCGGAGTGCGAAAAGTCCGTCAAAGGTCGTGCGCAACAGCCGTGCTACGAGCAGCAGGTCGCGAGCTGAGGGAACGCGAGCGGCGCGTGGGCGGTGGCAGGCGTCGCGTACCATCGTTGCGTGCTGTGAACGTTGCGTCGCGTGTCCGCTGCGTGCGCCGGAGCTGCTCCAGGGGGAAGCTTGGGAAATTTGGTTTCGCTGAAGAGGAAGACCTGCCCGCGACGAAGCCCCTCGCGCTGCTCCGGCTCGAAAAAGACCGGCGCCGGTATGAAGGTACACGTCACAACGCCGCACCCGCTCTGCGTCCCCGTTGACGACGTGGCTAAGTCGAACGGCCACCAAATCACCTGCACACACACAGGTCGCCCGCATGACGCATGTAGTCGCGAATTGCCTCGTTCGCGGTCGCGAGTTGATTCTATACAGTGCGTCAAATCATTTCAGCACGCCGCTCCGGACAATCACGCCGCGTGCCGAGCGTGCAGCGCCCATCCAAGCAAACGCCCGCAAAGCGCGGGAGCCCCTCTCCACGACGCACCTGACGCTGCGCACCGTCGTCTTGAGACGCCCCTGTGCTACGTCGTCGCAGACATACATCGCCATGCCGTTTGCGCTCGCCGCGCGGCCGTGTTGACGTCGGGCGAGCGCGTCCCAGATTGACAGACACACCGGTCGGACTGGCTGGCGACATGACGTCATGCGACGAGCACCTGGTGTCACAACCGCGCCCCAGCCCGGCTGGACGCCCGTCGTTCGACGATCACCCGCGCGCCGCCCCCGCACCCTCCCTCCGAACGTCACCGGCGGGGCACTATTCGCTGGCCTGCACACGTCGATGTGCGCGCCGAGTCTCCCTCGCGGCGCCCGACAGGCCCGGACAACATTTCACACTCCGGGCCGTTCCCAGCACCAGCAAGCGCTACAAGAAAACCCGGTCCGTGCCATGCTTGGCGGCGATTTCAACCTGGCTGGCAAGCTGTATCTTGTTGTAGCCCAGATCCAGTCGCGCCACCGCGACGTTCGCGAGCAGCGCCTCCGACAGCGCCCGCGCCCCCTCGCCGGTGATCTTGTTGCACCCCAAGTCGAGCGACGCCACAGTCGCCCCGTCTCGGATCGCCGCCGCCAGCGCCGCCGCGCCGTCGTCGCCGATGCAGTTGCCGCGCAGGACGAGCTCCTCCAGCGCGGTGCGGCGCAGCACCTCCGCCAGGGACCGTGCTCCGTCGCAGCCGACCCTGGTACAGCGCAGCACAAGTTTGCGCAGGCTCAAACGCGGCAGCACCGCTGCCAGCACCGCCGCGCCTTCGTCGCCGAACGGGTGGCCACTCAGGTCCAGCTCCCGCAACGTTTTGCAGCGGGCGAGGCACCTCGCCAGGGTAGCCGCGACGGCAACGGATCTTGGTCCTGCCTCTGATCCCTCGTCAAATGAGCCCCATTGACAAATCGCCAGCGACGCCAGGTCGGTCTCCGCCAGCACGCCGCCGAGAGCCGCCGCGCCCTCCTCGCCGACGCCACAGCCTCGCAGCGCGAGCTTCCGCAGGCTCTTGTTTTCTCTGAGTGCCGCGGCCACCTCCACAAGGTCGAAGCACTCACCGTCATCAAACCCATGCCCGCCGTCGAACGCCACCTCTCTGATTCTCTCGCTCGTCCGCAGCAGCGTCGTCAGCGCGCTGGTGCGCTCCTCCGCAGTCCCGCCCGCCGCGCTGACGCCCAGGTCGACAATTTCAAGCAAGGGGCAGCATGCCGCCGCATCCAGCAAGGCGCACGTGGACGCGCAGTCGAACGTGCCGTCGAACCCGCCCAACACGAGACGCCGCAGCGCCCTGTTGCGCCGCAGGACCGCCGCCACCTGCAACGCGTCGAGCGCGCATTGCTCCGATTCCATCACCAGGGTCCGCAGGTGCGTCAACCTGCTCCAGCCGTCCACGTTGAACATAAGCGAGAACTCGACGACAAACACCTCCAGGTGAGGGGGCAGTGAACACGTATTCGAATCTTCCTCTCCTGACCAGGACTCGTCAAGCATCTCGGCAATATGGGACTCAGTGTCGAAATGGCACCCGTCCAAGGTCAGGTGCCGCAGCGCCGTGGCACTCGGTAGCCACTTCATGAACGCCACCGTTCCCTCGCGCGACAGGCGGGTACCGTACATGTCCAGCCGCCGCAGCCGCGTACACCCCTCCAGGACCTCGCCTATTGGGCGACCTAATACGCGCCCGGCGAGGTTCGAGTGGCATTCGTCGCCGCCGAAGATGAGATGCTCCAGCGCCGGCAGCCCATGCAGCACCGGCGCCAGCTCCCCCAGGGACCAGGACTTCCACGTTCCGTCCGTGGGACGGAAGTGCAAACACCGCAGCGAGTCGTGCACCGCCGGGGACGCCAGGACGTGCTGCAGCGACATCAGCTCCATCGCCTTGAAGCCACTGGGGTCGTCCTCGACCGGCGGCAGCACCAGCCTCGTCACTTGCAGCGCGCCAGCACCCACCATCAGCGACGCGGCCTCAACCACCCCGTGCACGTACTGCCACCAGCCCATCGCCACGTGCAGCCACGGCTCGGTATCCGGAGGCGGCGTCTCGACGAATCTCAGCGCCTTCATCAGCTCACCGGCCTGTCGCGCTGGCACCCCCACCCCGCGGCACTCGATCGTGCCCTGCAGCTGTGCCGCTGTCGGCCGGACCGCGAGCGCTGCGAGGACGGAACCGGCCGGGTCCACGCGCAGCGTCGCGTCTCTGTCCCGCAGCACCGCCTCCAGCGTGCTCCACGACGCTGCCCCGAAACTGGCCTTGTCGTCTTCGCACAGCTGCGACAGAACGTGGCCCTGGACCTCCCGAAGGACCTGGTCGAACAGCGCCGCCGCGCCGCTCCCCTGTCGGCCCTGCATCGTCGGGATGGAGGAGCGCGCGGGTTTGGCCGGCGTGCGCGCGGCAACGCGTGCCCCCGCATGTCGATGTGACCTATGGCTAGGGTGACGGACAGCCGCTTGGCGGGACCACGCACCATCTGGATCTCCATCGTGTCCGCGTCCTACGACTTCAGTGACCACGGACGCGGCGAACCACCGCGCGAGGCCCTTGCGCGCTGTGAACGAGAGGCCGCCCGCGACGTAGCCCGCGCCCCTCTCCGTCCTGAGTGTGACCGAGAGCTGGGCTTGAGTGCTACGGACCCAGCGGATCCGCTTAGAACGCTTTGCAAGCCCTTGTTCAGTCCGGCGGGACACCTGCACACACACAGCGCCTGCTCATCTTCGACGAGGGAATGCGCGTGATACCGCGAATCATTCGATCATCGAGTCGCGTCGGCACATCAGTGTGAGCAACTCAATCCAAAGAGCTGCTGCTTCTTACGCGGGCGGCGCGTGTCGAGCGTGGAGCGCCCTGCCGAAGCACGCGCCACCGCAGGAGCACCGCGCGACGCACCTGACGCTCCGCACCGCCGTGTCGTGACGATCTGTTGCGCACGCTCGCAGCAGTGCTCAGGATTCTCGCGTACTCGCTCGCCTCGCGGCCCTATTCATGTCGGGCGAGCACGCCGGGTCATTGTGCTCCGGTCGGACTGGCACTACATGACGTCATGCGACCACCAGGTCGGTCTCGCGCAGCGGTGCAACCGCGCCATACCTGCCCCTGCGCGCTCACCCGGTGCCGTCGCCGCCGTCAGGGTCACGCGCGCGCGCAGCTCAAGCACTGCGACCACGCAATACAAGTGACCACACACCTGCATCGTCACAGCAGCACGCGCCCCCGCACGGGCTGTAGCTCCTCCTGGATCGCCGGGATCTCTTCTAGTGTGTTTGTTGGGTATTCACGCACTCCGCACTTCTGCAGATTGAGCTCCCGCAGCGTGTTGTTCCTGCGCAGCGCATGCAGCAGCGCAACCAGGCCCCGCTCGTTCAAAGTGTCGCACTGCATGTCCAGCGACACGAGTGTGGTGTTCGTGTGCAGCGCCCTGGCCAGCTCCAGTGCGTCCCTGTCACCAACGCCGACCCATGTCAGATCCAGCTTGCGCAGCATGCAGTGCTGCGACGCCAGCACCCGCGCCAGCCGGGCCGCGGTGCGGTCAGCTTGCTCCTTGCAGAAGAACAGGTGGAGCCACCGCAGCTGACTCTTGTGCGCGGAGCCCCACAGTCCGTCGATCAGGGGGGCGACGCAGGGGGACCGATCGTCGTGGAAGTCCAACTGGCTGCTCGGGGGAGCCCTGATCATCAACGTCTGCAGGTTGACCATCCGGGCCAGCCCACGCCCCAGCGCCTCCAGGTCGCCGTCAGCAAAACGCACCCTGCCGAACTCCAGGTGCCGGAGCGTCTGATTGCGCGCCATCCGCTCCCCGATCGCAGCGGCGTCGCCGTCGGGCCCGACGGCCGGCAGACACAGCGTCTCCAGCGACGTGTTGGCCATCAGGGCTTCGGCGACGGGCCCCGCGTCCGCGTAAATGTCGAACACGTTGCTGTCGTCGTCATCGCAGGGGAGGCGTTGCCCGCCGCCCACGTACACCTTGAAGTCCTTGAGCGTGCCGTTGTCCCGCACAACAGCAGCCATCTCCTGCGCAAGGCTTGACCCAGAGAATTCCTTCCCCACCCTGATGCGCATCTCGAACCGCCGCACCGACGTGTTCTGCGCCAGCGCCGCCAGGACCGTAGCCAGCCCACCGTTCGGATCGGACGAGACGCCCGCAGTCAGGTCGACGTCCTTGAGCGCCTCGCTCGTCCGCAGCAGCTCCGCCAGCGCCCTTGCCACGTCAGCGTCCTCGATCCCGCACGAGTGCAACACGAGCCGCCGCAGATGCGTCAGACCCTGCCACGCGCGCAGCGTCGCCCAGGACACGCGGCGGACATGCATCGCCTCGTATGTCTCCAGCCGCCGCAACGGGTGCGCCTCCGACGCCCACAGCTCGCCCGCGCCTTCAGGTTCGATGACGCAACACGCAAGCCTCAGACGCCGCAGCTCACTCGCGCCCGACGCCCAGCGCAGCAGCGCCTCCGCTGCCTTCGCTTCGATCCTCGCGCTGACAAGAGTGAGCCGTCGCAGCGACGGGCACTCTTGTATCAGCCCCACCAGCGCAGCACCGTCGCCCACGTCCGGAACCGAAGAGCCCCTGACCTGCAGCACTCGCAGCGCCGTTAGCCCGCATAGACTGCCCCGCAGCATGTCGACCGCACCAGCACGCATCGCATGCAGCACCAGGAGCCGCAGGTGCTCCTGCACCGCGCTGTGCTCCAGCACCGTCCGTAGCGCCAGCGCAACGCATTCCGGACCATCTGTAGCCATGACCCCATTGTACGACGCATCCAGCGCCGTCACGCGCACCGGGCCCTCCTCGCTCGTCGACGCCGCCCGCAGCACCCGCCACACAAACGCCGCCCACGATGCCACCGACTCATCCCGGCCCTCGTTCGCGGCCCGGCCGTGCCCCTGCTCCGCGCCCCGCACCGCCGCGATGAACGCCCCCGCGTCCGTCGCCGGCACCCTCACGCCCCTGTACATGATCTGTCCGCGACACTCCCCCCCGTCCAGTACTCGCGCCAGCACGTGCAGCACCGGCTTCTCCGGGTGCACCTTCAGCGTCGCGTCGCTCCCCCGCAGCACCGCCTCCAGCGTGCTCCATCGCGCCGCCGCCAGGCGCTTCTTGTCGCCGTTCGACAGCCTGTCGAGCACACCGCCGGACACCTCGCTCAGCACCCGCGTGAGGAGCGCCGCCGAAGTGCCCCGGTCGGTGCCCTGCACACCACATCGCAGCAACGTAAGTGCGTCGGTGTTTCGTCGCTGGCCGCGCATGAGCAATATTACGTCGAGTCCGCACTCGAGCACAAAGCACGCGAGTTGCCCCGCAGCGCCGTTTCAGGGACGTTTTTGGTATTCCCGTGAATGACAGCGGCTCTCATGATAGTAAGGGTGCTCACCATTCTTCCCCGCTCAACGAAACGCCGGTAGCACGACAGAGCGGGCTTAAGCAGCTAGTGCACTCTGTGGCGCGAGTCCGGCCGCCGCAGACGCCCGCTGCGGACCTCGACTGCCGCCCTTCCGTCTCTAGATGTCACTGTTCGCTCACACTATCAGCACGCTCCCCAGAATGCCTTCAAATTCCCGGCGTGAGGTGCAACCACCTGCAAGGACGGCAAGCGCAGCGCACAACGTTGAGAGCACGAACCGCCCGTGAATCGCGCAAGATCGCATCAGTCACTCTGAGGGATTCACGTGCCACATCGAGAGCACCCAGTTTGCCGCTCTCGCCCGTGAGCGGCTGGCGAAAGCATCACCGCCACGCACCTCACCGCCGCGCAACGACACCCTCGGGGCCCGCCGCCGGTGACGTCGCTCCAGCTCGACATCGCACAGCAAGTGCCTGCCGCATGCACCTCCGCGGGCCCGTGAGGTCGTCGGTCGAGCGCGCAACGCAGTGAGGCGGGCAGCGTTCTTCCCCGACGTCAGGGAGGCGGACTCCGGGACGGTCCGGGACGTCGTGACGCGGCTGAACCGCACCGCTGCGCTGCACGGCGCCCGCGCGAGCGCTGAGATGATGCGATCGCTCTTCAACGACCGCGAAGTCTTCAACCGTGTCGAGTCGCAGGGTGCTGCACTGACGCAGGTTGATCAGGCTCAGGGACGACTCGGGTATACATACACGACGCCTGCGCCTGCATTTGATGCGGCTGGCTCGTGATCGACCGGGGGCTGAGCTACACTGATCAAGGTACGTACGAATGTGCACATCCCGTCAATACTTGCTGGATGCCGTCGCGATGCGTGCAAGCATGTCGTCCAGCGCGACCGTGAAGGCCTGCGTGCCGACCAGCAGTCCTGCCCGCGGTCGCGTTGTCGTCGGACGTTGCACGTGAGCTACGCGCGTGAAAGGGATGTGCTGCGTGTTCAGCGCAACATGTTTGATCAGCTGCTGGCCCTCAGACAGACTACCCGACAAGTGGTCCAAAGGCTTGCACATGCTCCTCTGCCGCTGCAAACGCAGGTGTTACACGCTCGACTGCTACGCTCCCCGATTCGGGGGGCATCAGATGCTGGTGAGCAACAGACTCTTCGCTTACCGGGACCAGGCCCGTCCGATCCGCACGCGGTCTCGCACGTGCCCCAGCGCGGCCTCCACCTCCGGGGTCAGCTCAACGCCCGGCGGCTGCGTCTCCAGATGGAGCAGCCGCTTCGTCTTGTTGCGCCGCAGCGCCTCCAACAGCGGCAGTGCGGCACGCTGGAGCTGGCCGGGGCCCTCCTTGACGTTACCTAGCCTGATTGTGACTCTCAGCGTCAGCAGGGACGTGCCCGGGATGACCGTCTCCGCCAGAGGCCCAAAACGGTGATACAAGAAACCCACGCCACGCAAATCCAGCTCGGTCAGGGTGCAGCGCCGCGACGCCAACATCTCCGCAGACTCTTGCGTGACCGACTGGAGGCCTCTCATCGACAACCGACGCAGCTGGCTTCTCTGGTCACCGCTGCCCCACAGACCTAGCACCAACTCGCCGAGGGCAGTGCCCTCTGCGCCCCTCACCTCGAGCGACACGAGGCTCGTCGACCGCGCTAGCTCGTGCCCGAGCGCCAGCCAGTCGCTCTTAACGAAGAAGCGCGAGCCCAACGTCAGGTGCCGCAGCGACCGGCACCGTGCAAGACTGGCGCCCACTCTCGCGGCATCGCACTGTTGCATGGTCGGAAGTAGCAGCGTTTCGAGGGTTGTGTTGTCCTTCAGTGCGTCGGCGACCTCCTCAGCATCATCCAAGCAGTTGCATACTCCTCCGAGCTCCTCCACGGCGAGGTGCTTCAGCGTGACGTTGCTCCGCACCGCCGCTGCCAACGCTCCTGCGACGAGCGGACTCGACAGCACACAATACTCGACGTTCAGGCGGAGCACCGTCACCGTCGTGTTCTCTTGCAGCGCCGACAGTACCCCGACCACCCCCTGTACCGAGTCAGTCCCATGAGTTGACCCTGACACCTCCAAGCGCCGCAGCCTCGTGCTCGTCCGCAGCAGGTCCGCGATCGCCGTGGTCAGCTCCCCGCCCAGCGGGCATCCCTCGAGCACCAGCTCCTGCAGGTTTGTCATCCCCTGCCACGCGCTCTCCCACAGCCACTGCGATGGACATTGCACTGCCTCGTACACCTCGAGCGCTCCGAGCGCGCTTCCAGCCGCCAGCCACTCGTCCATGCTGCGCGGCTCGATGGCGCATCTCTCCAGCCGCACGTGCCGCAGCTCGCCAGCGCCCGCCAGCCAGCGCAGCAGCGTCTCCGCCGTCTCCCCCTCGAACGCCGCGTTCTCCAAGTGCAGCTCCCGCAGCGCCGTGCACTCGCTGATCAGCCCCGCCAGCGCTGCGCCATCAGCGCTCTGCTCATGTGCATCCTTCGAGTCGCGCCTGCGTCCGTCCAGACGCCGCAGCGCTGGCAGTCCGCACAAGCTGCCCCGAAGCAGCGCGATGGAGCCGCCGCCCAGGCGTGGTAGAGACAGCCGCTCCAGATGGTCCCTCACCGAGGGCATCGCCAGGATCGGACGCAGGGCCAACACGGCGCCATCGCCGCTGGGGCTTTCGGGGATCATGCTGCGAGCGTCCAGCGCCGTCACGCGCAGCGGGCCCCCGCTCGTATTCCCGGCCGCCTGCAGCAGCTGCCATACGAACTGAGCCCACTCGGCTAGTCCCTGATTCTCGCTATCCCAGTACGTGCCGTACACCTGTGGCACGTCGCGCAGTGCCTCCGCCAGCGCCCTCGCGTCCGACGCCGGCACCCGCACCCCATTGACCTCGATCGACCCCTTGCAGTACGCTCCAGTGAGCTGCCGCGCCAGCACGTACAGCAGCGGCCTCCTCGGGTGCACTTGCATTGTGCACTGGCAGCACCGCAGCACCATCTCCAGAGCGCCCAGCTGGGTCGCCGCGAGGTTCATCATGTCCTGCAGGTCGACGCCGTTCAGCAGACACGGCACCTCGACCAGCGCTTGCTCGAACAGCCCCCACATCGTCGTTGTTGTCTGCAATGTCGTCACACGGGCGGAAAACGGTCTCAAACGGCACGTCGTAAGCGCAGCGCTGTATCTAGTCCACGCAACATATACACCAGGCGTGTGTCTGTACCAAGAGAGCGCGGTTTGACCAGGGCATATGTGCGCGAGGCCTCACCTGTCGGCTGCCAATGGTCGTTTGGAGGTTCCCGGGATGACCCTGGGAGGACGACGCCATCGTGACTGCGGCACCGCGATCGATAAATTCGTCGTTCGCGAGCAGCCGTCGAGTTGACGTCCGTCCAGGCGCTGGACGTCCAGACGCGAGGCTCGATGTTCCCTGCAAACCAGCGCAGCGACGTGGTCTCCATGGGCACGCGCACAGTCGCACCTTGTGGATCCGAGTGAGCTTCGCTCCGCTCGATGCAGTCGTGCTGGTCGAGCAGTCTCATCGTTTCGTGCATGACGAGAGCCAGGGAATCATCACCTGTAAGGAAATCGATCGATCCGAGCCCGATGGTCAACGACAAACGCGGAGACGTGCACGCTCCTGGCCACTCCCGGCCTCCGCGATCGTCTTCAAGCCCGCCCGTACCGTCACGACGCCCCCCCGCGACAGACATACACCCAACACACCCCCCCGCACATGCGCGGCCTCGACTCCGCGTCCTCCAGCGCGCGTCGCAGACCTCCGTTGATCTCGCGTACCTGCGCATCACCACGGACGCGTGGTCGGTGACCCGCTCGCGACGCGCACGTGCAGGCTCGGCCGAGACGCAACAACGGCGTGGACGATGTGTTGCGTCTACGTACCAAGTGCGGTCTGATGCGGCCGTGCTCCTGCCTCACTGCGAGGCCGACCTCCTGCCGCCACCCCAGCCGTCCGGCCGCGCGTGGGTGGGTGGGTGGGTACTGGGGCCTCGTCAGCAGCGTCAACGCAACCAACGTGTCGAGGGAGCTCCTGACGGACCTGCAGCGACGGTCGAACGAGCAGGGCGATCTCGCGGCCTGCTCGCTGCTCCTCGGCGGCGCCTCATCCCTCCACCGCATGTTTTGAGCGTGCACAAGGCGAGGCACGGCGGGCAAGAGCAGCGTGGCTGGGACCCAGGCGCGCGACCATCGGGCCGGACCGCCCCCGCACCTGACACTCCGTCCCACACCACCGCCCCGCTCGCCCGCTTCGCGTCGCGTCGCACTGGCCCGCAACTGCTCGCAGCGCTGCCCAGGCCACTCCTGCCGCTAGCGCGGCCGCACCACGCCGTCTGGCCCGCCCTGACCCATGGTCTCCGCCCTCAGATCAGCCACCACCCAAATCCATCCCGAACCGCGTCGGTGCGCGCCGCCAGCGCCCCGCGTGAGGCCCTACGGACGGCTGAGGAGGGCCCGCCCCAACGGACGGAACCCGCCCGCGACGCCCACTACCTTGCGACCGCTGCACGCATCCCTCAACGTGCATGACAAAGGCGACGCGAGCGCGCCCAGAAAGGACGACCGCACCCACCGGCGGCCCTGCACTCGTCCCATGCGCGGGCGCAGACAGCACCGCCGCGCGACGACGCACGTGGAGCCAAGCGCCAGAAACGTCGCTGCGGCTCCACACCGCACAGCAAGTGCCTGCCGCATGCGCCTCCGCGGGCCCGTGAGGTCGTCGGTCGAGCGCGCAACGCAGTGAGGCGGGCAGCGTTCTTCCCCGACGTCAGGGAGGCCGACTCCGGGACGGTCCGGGACGTCGTGAGGCGGTCGAACCGCACCGCTGTGCTCCGCTGTATCCGCTCGCGCGCTGGGACCGTCAAACCACTCGTCATCTTCGACTGGAATGTCCTGACATCGCACAGTGCACTGGCGCAGGCTCATCAGCGATGGGGGTGGCTGATGGAGGTCACGACGCGCTCGATCCACACGGCGCCTGCGCAAGCACCTGGTGCGCCTGGCTCGCGATCGACCGGGGCGACCTGAGCTGCGCTGATCGACGACTGCACGTCCGGATGCACATCCTGTCAATCGGAACGTGGAATGTTTGCCGGGTGTGGTAGCGGTGTACAGAAGCATGTCGTCCAGGCCGGCCGTGAAGGCTCGTATCACACTGTGTCCTGCCCGCGGCTCGCGTTGTCGGTGGACTTCCACGTGAGCGACCAGCATGCGCGAGAGTGACGCAGGGTGCCCCTGCGCAACGTGGTCGGTCGGCACCTGGGCTCTGAGACGGAGCGTCAACGAGCATTCCAAGCGCTCGCGACCGTCCAACCGCGGAGGCCGATGCAAGTCTTACACGCTCGACTGCAGCGCCCGTCGCTGGCGCGCAACAGACTCAGTCGTCAAGCGGCGCGCCAGAGATCCGCACCCGATCTCGCACGTGCTCCAGCGCGGCCTCCACCTCCGGGGTCAGCTCCACGCCCGGCGGCTGCGTCTCCAGATGGAGCAGCCGCATCGTCTTGTTGCGCCGCAGCGCCTGCAACAGCGGCAGTGCGCACTCCTGGAGCATTTCAGGGCCGTTCTCGACTTCGGGCATCCTGATTGAGACTCTCAGCGTCAGCAGCGACGTGCTCGGGATGACCGTCTCCGCCAGAAGCCAATGATCGGAGAACATGTCACCCACGCCACGCAAATCCAGCTCGGTCAGCGTACAGCGCCGCGATGCCAACATCTCCGCAGACTCTTGCTTGATCGACTGGAGGCCTCTCATCGACAAACGACGCAGATGGCTCCTCTGGTCACCGCTGCCCCACAGAACTTCCACCACCTCGCCCCAAGCCCTCATTACCTCGAGCGACACGAGGCTCGTTGAGCGGGCCAGCTCGCGCCCGAGCGCCCTGCTGTCACCATAGTTCAGAGAGCCCAACGTCAGGTGCCGCAGCGACCGGCACTGCGCAAGCCCGGCGCCCACTCTCACGGCATCGCACTGTTGCCCGAGGTCTGGGAGCCGCAGCGTCTCGATGGTCGTGTTGTCCGCCAGTGCGTCGGCGACCTCCTCTGCGTTGGGCAGGCGGCCGCGTGGTCCTCCGAGCTCCTCCACGTCGAGGTGCTTCAGCGTGACGTTGCTCTGCAACACCGCTGCCAACGCCCCTGCCACGAGCGGGCTCGACAGCACACGATAGTCGAGGTTCAGGGAGAGCACCGTCACCGTCGTGTTCTCCTGCAGCGCCGACAGTATCCCGACCACCGCCTGTACCGAGTCAGTCCCCTGAGTTGACCCTGACACCTCCAAGCGCCGCAGCGTCGTGGTGTTTCGCAGCAGGCCCGCGATCGCCGTGGCCAGCTCCCCGCCCAGCAAGCATCCCTCCAGCACCAGCTCCTGCAGGTTTGTCATCCCCCGCCACGCGCGCTCCCACAGCCACTGCGACCGACATCCCACTGCCTCGTACACCTCGAGCGCGCCGAGCGCGCTTCCAGCCGCCAGCCACTTGCCCGCACAGTCCGGCTCGATGGTGCATCTCTCCAGCCGCAGGTGCCGCAGCTCGCCAGCGCCCGCCAGCCAGCACAGCAGCCTCTCCGCCGCCTCCTCCTCGAAAGATGCGCTGGCGATGAACAGCTCCCGCAGCGCCGCGCAATCGCTGATCAACCCTGCCAGCGCCGCACCATCCTTGGCCATCTCGACCGCGACCCTCGAGCCCCGCCCGCGTCCTTCCAGACGCCGCAGTGCTGGCAGTTCGCCCAAGCTGTCCTGAAGCAGCGCGACCAAGTCTCCGGCCAGACGCGGTAGGGAGAGACGCTGCAGGTGGTCCCTCACCGAGGGCATCGCCAGTACCGGCCGCAGGGCCAGCACCGCGCTGTCACTGCCGGTGCGGCTCTCGGATCCGTCACTAGGAGGTACCAGCGCCGTCACGCGCAGCGGGTCCCCGCCCGCGTCCCCGGCCGCCCGTAGAAGCCGCCACGTGAACTGTGTCCACGCGGCCAGCCCCTGTTTGTCGTCATCCCAAGATTTCTCGTATGGTTGCACCATCTCGCGCAGTGCCTGCGCCAGCGCCCTCGCGTCCGACGCCGGCACCCGCACTCCGTTCACCTCGATCGACCCCTTGCAGTACGTTCCCGTGAGCTGCCGCGCCAGCACGTACAGCAGCGGTCTCCCCGGGTGCACTTGCATCGTGCACTGGCAACAGCGCAGCACCATCTCCAGAGCGCCCAGCTGGGTCGCCGCGAGGTTCGCCCAGTCTTGCGGGTCGAGGCCGTCCAGCAGACACGGCACCTCGACCAGCGCTTGCTCGAACAGCCCCCACATCGTCGTTGAGTCCTGCAGAAACGTCACACGGGCGGGTCACGGTCGAAAACACAGGCCCGGAGGCACGTCGCAGACACAGGTCGACGCGACATATCACGAGGTGCCTCTCGGTGTCGAAAGTGCGGGTTCGTTGACACAATCATATGTGCGGGACCTCTCACCGTTTGGGTGGTGCTTGTACGAACGTTTCCGGGATGGCCCTGTGACGTTGACGCCATGGTGACTGCGGCACCGAGCTTGAGTCAGTGCGGGAATATGAACGAGCTTCGAGTCGACGTCCGTCTCGATGCGGAACGCGCAGCTGCGATGCTCGATGTCTCCTGCAAACCAACCATCGCAGCGACGTGGTCCCGATGGGCACGCGCGCAGCTTCACGCCAGCGGCTTCAGCGAGTCACGCCGCGTGCTATTCAGTGCCGCCTGTTCGAGCAGCCTCATCATTTCGTACGTGCGCCAGCGAATCATCACCTGTGTCGAGATCGATCCGACCCGATGTGGCCTTGAAACGCTCAGGACGCTCCAGCCTGTTCCAGCCCGAGATGCCACTGGCCACTCCCGGCCCCCGCGATCGTCTTCAAGCCCGCCCGTACCGTCATGACGTCCCCCCGCGACAGACAGACACCCAACACACCCCCGCCCGCACCTGCGCGGCCTCGACTCCGCGTCCTCCAGCGCGCGTCGCTGACCTCCGTCGGTCTCGCGTACCTGCGCATCACCGCGGACGCGTGGTCGGTGACCCGCTCGCGACGCGCACGTGCAGGCTCGGCCGTGACGCAACAACGGCCGTGGACGATGTGTTGCGTCAACGTACCAAGTGCGGTCTGATGCGGCCGTGCTCCAGGCTCACTGCGAGGCCGACCTCCTCCCTGCCGCCGCCCCAGTCGTCCGGCCGCGCGTGGGCGGGCAGCGAGGCCTCGTCACTGGTGGCGTTGCAACTAGCATGCCATGGAGGCTCCTTGCGGACCTGCAGAGACGCACGGGACGCAGGGCGATGACGCGCGCGATGCCGCAGCGTGCTCGCTGCTCCTCGGCGGCGCCTCATCCCTCCACCGCGTCCTGTGCCGCCACGGCAGCATGTCTTGCACGTCCACAAGGCGGGGCAGGAGCAGCGTGGCTGGGACCCAGGCGCGTGACCATCGGGCCGGACCGTCCCCGCACCTGGTGTCCCGCCGCACACAGCGACGTCTCTCTTCCGCTCCGCGTCGCGTCGCACTGGCCCGCAACTGCTCGCTCGCAGCGCTGCCCACGCAACTCCTGCCGCTAGCGCGGCCGCACCCCGCCGTCTGGCCCGCCCTGACCCACGCTCTGCGCCCTCACATCAGCCACCACCCACACCCATCCCGAACCGCGTCGGTGCGCACCGCTGGCGCCCCGCGTGAGGCCCCATGGACGGCTGAGGAGGGCCCGCCCCAACGGACGGAACGCGCCCGCGACGCCCGCCACCTCGCAACGGCTGCACGCCTCCCTCGATGAACATGATGGTGGCGACGCGAGCGCGCCCGAACAGGACGATCCCACCCACCGGCGGCCCTACACTCGTCCCAGGTGCGCACAGCCAGCACCGCCGCGCGCGACGACACCCTCGGGGCCCGCTGCCGGTGAAGTCGCTTCGGGCCGATACCGCACAGCAAGCGCCCGCCTCATGCGCCTCCGCGGGCCCGTGAGGTCGTCGGCTGAGCGCGCAACACAGTGAGGCGGGCAGCGGTCACCGACATCAGGGCGGCTGGCTCCGGGACGGTCCGGCACGTCGTGACGCGGCCGGATCGCACCGCTGTGCTCCGCGGTATCCGCTCGCGCGCTGGGATCGTCCGGTCACTCATCACCTTCGACTGGGATGCCCTGACGTCGCACAGTGCACTGGCGCAGGCTCATCGGTCATGAGGCTGACTGGGGGACGTCGTGGCGCGGTAAATCACGAAATGTCCCCCTTTTTCGGTACAGCTGGCTTGTGATCGACCGGGGGACCTGCACTGCGACGATCGAGGTACGCAAATACATACATTCATACCTTTGACATGTTTGCGTGTGATCGCGGTGCACGACAGCTTGTCATCCAGAGCGATCGTGGGTGGGGCTTCACGAGCTGAATCGCAGCCATTCCCGCGGTTTGCGTGCCCAACAGGCCTTGCACCCGAGCTGTGCGCATGAGGGGGGCGTGCAGACGTTGCGCGGTCTATCGCGACATGTTGGATGAGCAGCTGCTCTGTCAAAATGGACCGCTGTCGGACGTGTCATCAACGCATGTACGCCGTCTAGGCCGCCACAGATCTCACACGCCCAGCTGCGCCCACCACTAGTGCACCACATGCGCCGTCGTGAGCCGGCCGCGCCTCTCGCGTCCCCCCACCTGAGTGATCCGCACACGGTCTTGCACGGGCTTCAACGCGGCCTCGGTCTCCGGGGTCAGCTTCATTTTGGGCCGCATGTCAACATGTAGATCGAGCAGGCGCAGCGTCTTGTTGCGCCGCAGCGCCCGCAACATCGGCAGCGCTATATACTCGAAGTCTTCATTGTCCTTCTTGGTTTCGGACATCATGATGCCGAGTCTGAGCGTGAGCAGCGACGTGCTCGGAATCAACTGCTCCGTCAGTGTAAGGCCCCAGATATGCAGAGGTGTACAGTGCTCGACGCGGAGCCCCAGACCACGCAAATCCAGCTCAATCAGCGTACAGCGCTCCGACACCAGCACTTCCGGAACACCTGCGGCGAAATGTATGATATCAGACCTCATCGACAGGCGGCGCAAGCGGCTTCTCTGGTCACCGCTGCGCCACAGACCGTTCGCCAATCCGGGCATATTTGCGCCCTTCGTCTCGAGCGACTCAAGGCTCGTCGACCGGGCCAGCTCGCGCCCGAGCGCCAGCCAGCCGCTCTCATCGAAGTGCGCAGAGCCCAACGCGACATGCCGCAGCGACCTGCACCGTGCAAGCCCGGCGCCCAACCTTGCGGCATCGCACTCCTCCGCCAAGCCTGGAAGTCGCAGCGTCTCGAGGGTCGCGTTGTCCTTCAGTCCCTCGGCGACCTCCTCCGCGTTGGGCAGGCGTCCGGCGTCAGGGGGAAAGATAATTTCACTATCTTCCGCCTCCACGTCGAGGTGCTTCAGGGTGACGTTGCTGCGCAGCACCGCTGCCAGCGCCTCCGTCATGAGCGGGTCCAAAAAAAAAGGACTGAAAGCCACGCGAAACGTCATCACCGTCGCGTTCTCCTGCAGCGCCCACAGCACCCCGACCACCCCCTGTACCGGGTCGGTCCCGTGAGTTGACCCTGACACCTCCAAGCGCCGCAGCCTCGTGCTCGTCCGCAGCAGGTCCGCGATCGCCGTGGCGAGTTCGTCGTCCAGAGAGCATCCGTCCAGCACCAGCTCCTGCAGGTTTGTCATCCCCCGCCACGCGCGCTCCCACAGCCACTGCGACAGACATCCCACTGCCTCGTACACCTCGAGCGCTCCGAGCGCGCTTCCAGCCGCCAGCCACTCGTCCACGCTGCGCGGCTCGATGGTGCATCTCTCCAGCCGCAGGTGCCGCAGCTCGCCAGCGCCCGCCAGCCAGCGCAGCAGCGTCTCCGCCGCCTCCTCCGCGAAAAGTGCCCCGGTCAAGTGTAGCTCCTGCAGCGTCGTGCACTCGCTGATCAGCCCCGCCAGCGCTGCGTCGTCCTCGCCCCTCTCAATCAAGCTTGAAGCTTGTCTGAAGACCTTCGAGTCCGGCCCGCGTCCGTCCAGTCGCCGCAGCGCTGTTAGTTCGCACAGACTGCCCTGAAGCAGCGCGATCGATTCATTGGCCACACGCGGCAGGGACAGATACTGCAGGTGCTTCAGCACTGCGGGCGCCGCCAGGATGGGACGCAGAGCCAGCACCGCGCCAGGGCAGCTCTGTGAGGTGTCGCAATGAGCGTCCAGCGCCGTCACGCGCAGCGGGTCCCCGCCCGCATCCCCGGCCGCCGACAGCAGCTGCCACACGAACTGCACCCACTTCGACAGCCCTTGCTTCTCCTCATGCCAGGCGTGATATGGTGGCACCACGTCGCGCAGTGCCTCCGCCAGCGCCCCCGCGTCCGACGCCGGCACCCGCACTCCGTTCACCTCGATCGACCCCTTGCAGTACGCCCCCGTGAACCGCCGCGCCAGCACGTACAGCAGCGGCCTCCTCGGGTGCACTTGCATCGTGCACTGGCAGCAGCGCAGCACCATCTCCAGAGCGCCCAGCTGGGTCGCCGCGAGGTTCGCCCAGTCTTGCGGGTCGAGGCCGTCCAGCAGACACGGCACCTCGATCAGCGTTTGCTCGAACAGCTGCCAAATCGTCGTTGTTGAGTCCTGCAATGATGTCACACGTGTAGATCGCGGTCTCAAACAGCGCCTTGTAAGTACGGCGCTGACACAATTCGACGCAACATACCAGGAGGCGTCGATCGGCACAGGTACTGCGGATCCACCGGCAACACATGCGCGCGGGGGGGCTCACCATTTGGCTGCTGTCTGTTTGAAGGTTCCTGGGATGGGAAGACGACGCCATGGTGGCTGCGGCACCGAGCTTGAGTCGGACGTAGGATGTGAGCGAGCTTCGAGTCGACGTCTGTCTCGATGCGGAACGCGCAGCTGCGATGCTCGATGTTCCCTGCAATGTGGAGCCAGCAGGACGGAACGTGGTCTCGACCGGCACGGCCGCAGGGTCATGCCATCGATTCGGCGAGCCACGTCACGTTCGTGCTGGTCGAGCAGCCTCATCGTTTCGAGCGCGACGTGTGTCGAGGAAATATTATCACCTGTGAAATCGATGCGAGCCAAATGGACCGCCGAGCGCAGGGACACCCCAGCCCGCTCCAGCACAGGACGATTCAGGTCAGTCTCCGTGTCCACGCTCGGCTTCAAGCCCGCGCTGCAAACGCTCCCTGGCGATGTTTCTCTGCAACCCCCCCCCGCTTGACTCAGCCGCTGGCCGCACGCTCTACACCTCCCGAACCGAGACGCTGCACCGCAGCACACTCAAGCTCACTGGACCCGCGCGTGCGTGGCACCAACTCGTCTCCGCGCCACCCCTCAGAGGTACAGCGAGGCAGCGAAAATGATGTCCCTGCGCAGCCTCTCCCCGATGGTCTCCATCTTGTGCGACAGCTCCGTCTCCCCGATGTTCGTCGCGGCCACGCCCAGCTGCGTCAGCAGCTCCGACAGCCGGCGGATGGCTCGCACCAGCGACCCTGCACGAACGGAAGAATGACCGCACGTTGCCGCAACCAGCGCAGCTACCATTCAGCAGGCCGCTGCGACCGTCCGCAAAATACAGCTATCATCGGCACAATGTATCAGCAGCAGCAACGGCTGCCCCCGCCGTCGAAGTGCGTGCGTGTGCGTGTGTTTCTGGTGTCGTACCTTCAAACACGTCAGCCAGCTTCAACACCCCCGAGAACTTCACCCCGCGGTGCCACGCCGCGCACGCCTCCATCAGGTCCGGCCGGAACGACTCCACGAACTCCTCCACGTCCACCGGGAGCCCGCACCCCGCCACCGCGCGCCCCACGGTCCGCGCCGCCTCCCGCAGCGCCGCGAACGTCCCCTGCAGGTCCTCCCGGATCTTGACGCCGCCGCGGCCGCCCTTCTCCGTCCACACGAAGCACGACAGCAGCGCCACGACCTGCTCGTCCGTCAGCGCGTTCAACACCCCCCCGAACACCAGCTCGCTCAGCACCAGCTCGTCCCCCGACGATATCTCGCACGCCACGCGCCCCTTGAGCGTCACGATGCCGTTCTCGTCCTGCACGCAACGTGACACGTCTGGCGCTCTCGCGCACCATGCCAACACGACAACCAAACAAAACAAAACAAAACATCCCAGGGGGTGTTTGTGGAGCGACAACCATGAATTGTTGCGGAGACGTACCACGTGGCCGAGCTGGCGCAGGATGCGTTGGCGCGCGTGCAGCTCCTTCTTGAGCACGAGCCCCTTGGCCGCGCGCAGCTCCCGCTTGGCCACCCCCAGCGCCTCCTTGTCCACGTGCTTCTCCCGCAGCGCCTCCAGACGGTCCCCGAGGTCCGCCGCGCCGAGCACCTCCTGCAGGAACATCGGGCGGGTGCTCGAGGTGAGATGGCCGTCTTTCGCTGTCTTTTCGCACCGAGTAACGTCACCAAAGAAAAAAAGTTTCTTTGAAGTGTGTCGTGATGCGGGGGGTTGTGTCAGAGCGGCGCTGGCGACACCCGCAGATCACGTGCCGTGCACAATCCTTTTTCGACGTCTGAGAAAGCAAGAGGTGGAACAGAGATGGAGCCCCGCCGTTTCCATGCGATGCGCACCTGGACGTTGAGCATGTCGTTCAGCTGCTTCAGCGCGCCGGTGCACTTCTCCACCTTCTTCTTGTCCGCGCCCATATCCCCCACGGGGTCCAGCACCGGCACCGCGTCCCCGAACCGCCGCAGCACCTCGCCCAGCGCCTTGCCCGCGTTGTCGCACGCGTGCTGCTGCCGGAGGTCCCGCGGGAGGTGCACGCGCACCGCCGACAGCGCCGCGACCGAGCGCAGCTTGACCGGCACCACCGCCATGATGCCCTCGCCCGTCAGCGGATCTGCGACGCAGGATGCAAAATCGCGAAAGATCAAATCAGGATGTGTTGTTGCTCTGCGGAGAGAGAGCGTCAAGATGAGACGGGAACATCGTCAGCGGCGTGCGGTGTGCGGGGACGGCGCACCCACTGGCACGGGCACCTTGTCCCAGTCGGCCTGTCCATGACGTGGCACCGTGTCTGACCGGAGCTTCAGCAGCACGTCCACGGTGTAGCTCTCCGGGGGGGAGTCCTCCGTGCCCTTGCTCTTCGCCTTGCCCCCCGACCCCTCCCTGCGCAGCCACCACGGCACCGCCCGACCACTCACGCTCCGCACCCCCGCAACAACAACGACGTGCGGGTGGCAGCACGCAGGGCGGCCCGCACCTCCGGAAGCTCACGATGAGCCCCCACACGGCCTCCTCGGTCCCCGCCCCCGCCGGCACCTTCCCGCCCGCCTTCTTCGCCGCCGCCGCGCACTGCCGGCACGCCCCCACCACCTGCGTGCCCGACACCGGCGCGCCCGGGTCCGCCGCCGTGAGCACCTGCACCGCGCGGCCGGGCTGCAGGAAGGGCACGCAGCGCTTCGGCGCCGCGATCAGCTCCCTCAGCGCCCGCCGCTGCACGAGCAGCTGTTCTACTGTGTCGTACAACAGCTGCAACTCCTCCTCCTGCGGTATGACGCGGTCCCGCAACGACGCCTCCAGCTGCGCCAGCCGCCGCTCGAGACCTGCGCGGCAATGCTCACACAGACGCAGTGAAGGTCGCCGCGGGTTCGAATGAAAGTATTTATGCGAGTGAAAGAAGAAATTATCGATAGGATGCGATGGAGACGCAGGCGCAGTGACGTCTATTGGGGGCAGGATCGGGACCGGACCTGGGATGGCGCGCTCGGCCTGGAACTGTCGGAAGGAGCGCGACATGATTTCTTCGGGCTTGGACCCCTCGAGGCGCATCATGTTGAGCAGCATGTTGTACCCGAGGCGGAACTCGGAGTACATCAGGTCCGCACTGCCCTGCAGCAGTCCCTTCGCGGTGGCCGGGTCCAGCGCCGGCGACATCATCATGATCACCACGCCCCTGCACGCACACACACGCGCACCCGCACATGTGTCGTCGGACGCGTCGCATGCCGTCCCTGCGGTCTGCGAAACGGTGTGGGTGCGTGCCGTTCGAGAGGAGTGGGTCGGGGCGTGGTGCGCACCGGTCGTCGAGGCCGCGTCGTCCCGCGCGGCCCGACATCTGGATGTACTCCCCCGGGGAGATCCAGCGGAACCCCCCCCCGTCGTACTTGCGCAGGCCGGTGAAGACGACGGTCTTCGCGGGCATGTTGAGGCCCGTGCTGAACGTCTCCGTCGCGAACAGGCACTTGAGCAGGTTCTCCTGGAACAGTATCTCGATCACCTCCTTCAAGATAGGAATCAGCCCCGAGTGGTGCACGCCCACGCCGCGCTTCAGCATCGGCAGTATCTCGCGCACCTGCGACCTCGTCCGCACGGCAACAAAGACAACCTCGAACCAACAACGCGGGACACCAAACTACCTCTCAAACGAAAGCGCACGCACACAAACAACCAACGAGTCAACGAACCAGTCGCTCGCGCCGGCTGCAGCGCCCCGCACCTGCGCGAGCGCCTGGTCCTCGGGCGCCAGCATCCCGAGCGCGCTCCAGAAGATGGTCTCGACCAGCTTCTGCTCGTCCTCGTTGTTCAGCTCGAGGCTCGACAGCGCGAGCGCGTGCTTCTCGCAGTCGCGCTTGCTGAACGCGAACACGATCACCGGGTCGTAGTTGCGCTCGATGATCATCCGCACCAGCTTGAGCATGTCGGCGCGCTGCTGGTCCTGCTCCGTGACCTTGGCCTCCCTCGCGGCGCCCTGCTTCTTGCCGCCCGCGACCTGCGCGTCGTTCAGGTCCGCGACCGCCTTCTGGAAGTTGTCCTCGCGGAACCGCCCGGCGTCCATCGTCAGGTACAACCCGTCACCCCCCTCCGGGAAGAGGTAGTGCTGGAGGGGCGTCGGGCGGTAGTCCGTGTACGTGACGTCGCACGGGCTACCGTGGACCTTGGCGATCCACTGCGCGAACTCGAACGAGTTCGGCAGCGTCGCGGACAGAAAGGCGAACCGCACGCCCTTGGGGGCCAGCACGATCGTCTCCTCCCACACCACGCCGCGCTGCACGGGGCGGAGGACGGCGGGACCGTGGGGGCGCGCGAGGCGGGCAGGTCCGAGGGGGCTGACAGGTGCTCGACGGGCCGCGGGGCAACTGCCGCCATCCAACACGCCATCGATCTTCGTCTCTTCGCACTGAGTCAGCAAGGCGCTCGACGCAGAAGACGCCCACAAAACAATCAATAAACAACCAATACGGAGCAACGCATGCTCTCGTGCCGGTGACGAGCTCGCGTCTCACCTCCTTGTCGCGCATATAGTGGATCTCGTCGTACACGACGAGCTTCATCTCGCGCACGATCTCCGACCCGCGGTACAGCATCGACCGCAGGATCTCCGTCGTCATCACGAGGCAGTGCGCGTCCGGGTTGATCGTCACGTCGCCCGTCATCAGCCCCACGTCGCCAAACTCCTCCTGCAGCTCCCGGAACTTCTGGTTCGACAGCGCCTTGAGCGGGCTCGTGTACACGACCTTGGCGCGGTCCCGGAGGCCCATCGCGAACGCGTACTGCGCGACGACGGTCTTCCCCGCGGAGGTGTGCGCGGCGACCAGCACGTTGTGCCCCGCCTCGAGGGCGTGGATCGCCGTGCGCTGGAACGGGTCGATGGCGAAGGAGTACTCCTTCGCGGGGGGCTTCGACGGCGCGGCCGGCGGACCCAGCGGACCCTGCGGCGCGGGTGGAGAAAGGAAACCCAGATGGAAAAATGAAAACAATATACACGTGTGACATGTCATGATATGCCAGCCAAGACAGCACTTGCGCGAGGAGAGCTGTTCTCGTTCGGTGCGTGGGCGAGCTGGGTGGCGAGGGGGGGAGCGCGGTCGTCCGCGGTGCGCACCTCGTGCCCGGGCGGCCAGGCCACCTCGTGCGTGCAGGCCTTGCCGTCGTACTCGATCGTGTTGACGTGGCGGGGCGCCTCGTCGGATGTCTGCTGCGAGAAGGCGATCTTGGCCATCTTCTGGGCCGGGATGAGCGCCAGCGGCACCACGGCGTCGGACTTGGCAGACGCCTCCCTGCACGCACGTAGCGTGGAGACGCGCCGCGTTGCGCACACGTGAATCATCAATACGTGATCTCCAGGCATACAATGTGTGGCAGGGAAGAAAATGAGCCATCCAGGAGGGCTATGGCGGCGGTCTGTGACCAGCAGAGGGGAAACCAGCTTCCCAGAAAGCGCCCCCGACATGGCCGCGGGAGGAAATCAGCGCGCGGGCAGCACCGACCATGAAGTAATTCGCCGCGGTTCAAAGCGTGCGAGCGGAAACGTATTCGGCGGTGCAAGGCGCCAGATGCACGACTGCGGCACACCGAGGCGGCCGGCAGGGCCTCCCGTTCGCGCGCGGCCTCCGTCGAACGCAGCGGCGCCCCTGGCTGCCTGTTCGCGAAGTTGGTCACCTGCCACGCTTCTTTGACTTGTGTTCCTTCATCGCTACAGCCCCCTGCGCCCACTCTATGCCTTGCAACAAGCTACCGCGCCTCCGGCAGCGCTGCCATCACGCTACAACGTCCCGCCGATACGCGTCGCCACCTCCTGTCACGCCCCTGAACACCGCCACAATGTCTCTCCCAGGCATGGCGACCCCCCCATGTCCGACGACGTCGCAGCGGCCAACACACTACCCCCCTCCCTGACGCACTCCCTCGGGGCGCCCCGCGTCCCAGCTCCCCACACGCGATCCCGGCCTCTCCACCCTCCGCCACCACCAGATCAATCCAGAGAGTCAGTCACACATGTACAAGTCAGCATCTTCCCCCCAAGGCACAGCACCCCTACAGCTCCTCCCGGCCGGCACCCGGCGTGCCCCGCACCTCCGCGGCCTTCGCCTCCGCGAACACGTCCGCGGCCCCGCGCCCCTCCCCCGCCACGAACCTCACCCGCGAGTGCACCACCGTCAGGGGACACAGCGCCACGCTGTCAGACAGGTGCGCCTGCAGCGCCCGCAGCGCGTCCGTGGGGCCGTAGAACTTCGCCGCGACCGCGACGTGGAGCTCCGCGCCCTCGGGGACCTCCAGCTCGAGCTCCTGCTTCTCGACCCCCCCGTTGCCGGCGAATCGGATGGCGTACATGTGGGGGGGGTCGCTGGGGAGTCCCGTCGGACGGACGGCCGCGCCGAGGTTCCAGGAACGGATCGGCGCGCCCGTGATGTTCACCACGCCCCACGCCGGCTCCCCTGCGCGCACACGACCGGCCCCTCGCACGTCAGTCGACAAACCCACAGGAACCAACAACCACGAATCCACGACTGCGAGTGCGCACCCGTGTACAGCGTCAAGTACATCTTCACGTGCCCCTCCGCCACCTCGTCCCCCTCGCACGGCCGCGCGGCCGAGCACTCGTAGTCCAACACCACCTCCGCCCGCCGCTGACTCCCCGGGGGGAGTCCCGGCGCGCCCGGCACCAGCACGCCCGAGAGCCCGCGGCTCATCGGGTACATCGGCAGCCAGTCCTGCGCCGTCGGCACCGCGAGCGCCGCCGCGCCGCCCTCGGCCAGCCCCAGCAGCTCCCGCATGTGGTGGTTCGAGTGCAGCTGCAGGGCGTGGGTCGTCGGGACGGAGTCGAACGCGGACATGACGTAGACGGAGGTGTTGTCGGGGCGGTGGACGTGCAGCGCCATGAGCCGCTTGGGGTGGTGCGCGGAGTAGGGCTCCCAGCGCGCCGTGGCAACGGCGGCGACCACGGCAACGACGTAGAGCGCGCGCGTGATGGTCTTGCCCGGGAGGAGGCGCACGACGAGCGGGAGGAACCCGATCATGTCTGCAGACACAGCCAAGAGGGGGAGGACGGGGGTCAGAGCTCTCTCTCTCTCTCCCTCGTCCTTGCACTTGGCGACAAACACTGTTTGATAGTTTGTGGTGGATCGTGTGGGTGGTGATCCGCGCACCTATGACGAGCGTGCTGATCACGAACGCCACCGCGGCGTCCGCGACGTACTTCCAGCCCTCGAACGGGGGGTTCCCGGACAGCCCGATCTTGCCCAGGAGGTGCAGTGCGTACCCGCCCGACAGCGACGCGAACTCCGCCGCGGGCACCGCCACCGCCACGAGCCGCCAGAGCACCCCGGGCACGCCCCCCGCGACCGCGTCCAGCCGCACGGGGCACACCGCGGCCACCACGAACGACGCCGCGAGCCACGTGGGCAGGTATGACCCCAGGCGGTACGGTGAGAAGGTCAGCAGCGCGCCGACGGTGGCGAGCGGGATCGCGAGCGAGATGTAGGCCGTGGAGAGCTCCCGCGAGCGCCGCTTGGCCGTCCGCGGCCCGGAGGTGTTCAGGTTGTGGGTGGCGAGGCCGCGGATAAAGGTGATGGCGGCCGCGGCGGCGGGGGGCAGGTAGAGGGCGAAGGCGGCGAAGGGGCGGGAGAACCAGACCATGGGGGCGCCCGTGGCGGCGACGCGCAGGACGGCGAAGAGGATGCTGAAGGCCACGGGCGCGGCGAGGGCGGCGCCGGCGTCGGCGACGGTGGCGGCGGAGACGGCCGCGTTGGAGGTCGCGAGGAGGACGCAGATGGAGGCGAGCGGGACGAGGTGGAGGATCTGCGCCGTGTCGAACGAGTACGTGACGAAGAACGTCCGCAGGAAGGAAAAGTAGATCCCGTCGGGCTGCAGGGGGGTGTATTGTGTTGGATGGGGGTGTATTGTCGCGTTTGCGTGTTCGCATTGTCGCTCGTGGGAAAGCGGCGGCGTTCTGGTTCTGGTCCGGGAAGGGTGCAGCATCATCGCTCGGCGTCGCTCTCTCAGGGCCGCGTGCATGAGTGCGCAACTACCGGGGCGCAGCGTGGGTCGGTTGCGTCCGCACCTGGTCGTTGGCGTCGGCGTCGTCCTCGTCGAACTGCCGCTTCATCTCCCGCATGAACTCGTACGCCACGCCGTCGATGTTCTCGCCCAGACACTGCAGGCTCCCCGGGACCAGCTCGCCCGGGTTGTCCAGGTGCGTGTGGTACGTCTGTGCCTTCTGACCCTGCGCAGCACGACGCCGAAGGACGGACCGCTCGCACGCGCGGTGAGCATGCACGTTCGCAGGTCGCCACACACCCAACACGGCGGGACACGCCAAGCGGCAGCGCCAACCATCCCTCCCCCGGCGTAGGTAACAAGTGGCACGCAACATGCGACGAAATGCAAGAAGGAGAATCCGTCAACAAGAAGCATGACGCAGCAGGAGACATAAAAGCAGTCATCAAGCAACACGCGGCGATTGGGGCGCGCACCAGCGCCATGTCGATGCCGTGGAGCCGCCCGAGCCGCCGCGTCGACAGCACCTTGTAGTCGGTGTCGGCCGGCAGCGCCTCCACCTCGAAGAGCAGCTGCACCAGGGACGACCCCAGCGGGCGCCTGGCTCCGCGCCGGTACGCCTCGAGCGTCCAGGAGCTGCCCTGGAAGACCACGTCCGGGCCCGCGGAGCCCGTGGACTCGACGTTGATGAAACTCCCGACGCGGTCCATCCACGGGTGGAAGGAGAAGCCGTGCGCCGCCTGCAGGGAGGGCGACAGCACCATGCTCGCTGCGTCTGATTATTCGTCGACTAGGTTGTGCTCAGACTCATCGTTGACAGCGCGCCAGGCCGGGCAGTGCGAGTCGGTCAGTCTGCGTGTGCGGACAAGCCTGCGCATGATGTCGAATGGCAACAACAGCAGCAGCGCGTGGTTGCGCGATTCGAGCCTGCACCGCCGCCTTGGGGCGTCAGCCAACAGCGTCCGCACTCGCTGCTGCGTCGTGTGCGACTGCGTGGGGGGGTATTGTGGGTCTGACCTGCATGAGCGTCTCCTCCCCCCCGTTGGCCAGCAGGACGAGGTCCGCGTCGAGGGGCTCCCCGCGCGCCACGACCGCGCGCCCGAACTCCAGGATCGACGACACGGCCGCGCCCTGCGGGCGCGCTTGGTCGACCGCGGAGCCGCCGGTTGCAACAGGAGCGGGGGGGAACCGTGCAGGCGGGGAGTGTGGGCGGGCGGGGCACGTACCGCGTCTGACGCGCCGGGACTTGCGAGCGTGCTGTCGAAGTGCGACAGGAGGAGGACGCCCTGCACGCCACGCCGCAGCGTTCAGTCGTGAATCAACGACAACCATTGTTTTATTCATTCGTGACTCAATCAATGTCGATGGCGGTCGGCGGGAGGGGCCAGCGAGCGCGCGTCGACGCGTCGAGGCCGCACCTTGGGTCGCTCCTCCGGAGCGTCTCGGTTGTACAGTCGCACGGCCACGTTCGTTAGGTTTTCGTATTTGTTGACGAAACTGGCTCCCAGGAACTGCGGACGCAACGGAGCGGGCACCAGCCTCAGCAACGACGAGGCCGCACGCTGCACGCGCCCCGCCTTCTCCGAGCGCAACGCACGCCTCCACCAACGCGCCGCGACGTCGCTGCTCGACTGCGTCCTTCTGGGGGCCGCCGCGGCGTGCGTTCGTCGCGGACGCACCTCGAGGTTGAAGCTCCCGCTCGTGCGCGACCGGGAGACCTCGCACGCGATCGCCGACCCCTCCGCCGCGTCGCACAGAGCCTGCATCTCCCGCTCCACGTAGTCCGCCGCCCTGTGGATCGCCTCCGTGCCCACCTGCCGCTCCCCGATCGACCCCGGACCCGCACCCGCCAGCGCGATCACGTGCTGCATCGCGCGGCCCTCGGCGAAGCTCGTGCCCGGCGCGTCGCTGCCCAGCGGCGGCGCGAGGCTCGTGGCCGTCCTGCGGCGCGCGGTGGGCGGTCCAGCCAGGCGTTTGACGCGTGTGCGGGCATGATGCTGGCGCAGAGGGAGGCGCCGCGGCCGGAACGGCGCAGCAAGGGCGTGAGTCGATGGGTCCGGGCCACGGGAGGGCCTGCTGGGTCTCAGGGAGGTCTCCGGCCCTCATACGCAAGGGAGCGAGCGTTTCGGCGATAGCAGGCACGATTCCATACAATGGATCGCTCGAACGCGCGCGAATCCGGGAGGAAAGGCTGCGTGACAGCGCCGCGAGCCAGAGCCAGAGGCGGTGCGCTTCGATGCGGGCGCCGCGCGGTCGCTGGGATTCAGAGCAGCTCACCAGTGCGCGGCATAGAGAGTCAACGCGACGAACAGCCCGAGGAGCGCCACGGCGGTCCGCGTCGACAGCGCCGTCTGTGGCGCCACCACCCCGCCCCCCTCAGCGCGGCCCGCCTTGCCTTTTGTGCGCGCCATCTGCGATCGAGGCGGGCCGAGATACCAGCGGTGCGCGCACCCCGACGCCGATGCGCTCGTCCTCGCTGTGTCCGGGCCGCCCGGAGTCGTGCGCGGCTCTAGCGCGGGGAAACGCCCTCCCGCTTTTACCTGCGTCAACTGTCGGGCGGGCCAGCGCCGGCGCACGCGCGCGCCGGGCGGGCGGGGCGCGTGGGCGGGCGGCCGCGGCGGCGCTGCGCACTTTGGCGATCGCGAGAGGCCGCTGCCGAGGAACGCACGCGACAGGCCGCGCTACGCTGTAGGCGAGGACACAAACGTGCAGCTCTGGGGCGCCGCAGTGGCTCGTGGGCGTGTATAGTTCGGGCAGCCTGCCCCGCTGAAGGATTAGAGAGGCACCATGGTGCGTTCCCGCTCGAGCGCCCCCCGGCGCCCCCGCGCGCTTAGCACCTGCGCGCCACCCAAGCGAGCGCCGCGGCGCGGCCCCCGCTGCCCGGCCGCGGCGTCCGGGCCGCGTTCCTCGCCGGAGACGCCGCTCTCTCGCGGGCCGAGGAAGACGCGCGGGACGCGCGCCCCCCCGCGGCGCGTGAGGCCCGTGCAGGCCAGCTCGCGCCCAACGCCTCCGCCCCCGCGCCTCGCACGCGGCCCGCGACCGCTCTGGACGCGCTCACCCCGCACTTCACATCCCACGTATCCTCCGCCGCCGCTTATCTCGGCCTTATTCTGCCCCGCTACGATCGCCCCGTTTCCTCCCGCAAGCGCCATGCCCCCTCCGCGCCCGCCCAGCCGGCCCACGGGCGCGCGCAACGCGAATGCGGTGGTGAGGCGCCGCCTGGAGTGCCGCAGCGCCCCGCGACGTGCGTTTGCCGGCCGCGCGGGCGCCTCCTGCCCCGCCGGGCGCCCTGGGCCGGTTTTGTCCCGCCGAGCCTTCGAGCGGGGCCACAGCACCCGGAGCGCTGTTTCCGCGCTGACCGGCCGCGCGTGAGGCACCCTGGCGATCTTTCCGCACTGTTCGCGGAACGAGACGCCTCGCCGCTCCCGCAGCGCGCAGTGCGACCGCCCGCCCCGTCCGTGGCCCCATGCGTCCTCCGCGACGGCCGCTCCGCTGCGCGAACCGCTCCGAAAACCACGCCCCGTCGTTCCGCGTCCACGCCGCCGTCCTCCGCGCGCATTTCCACGCGGCGTGCGGCACGGGCCGCGCGCCGTTCGGCACGTCGCCCTGAGCGCCACCTCCCGGCCGCCTCCCGCCGCGCAGGTGGACCAGAACGTCGTCGACGAGGCGGTCAAGAAGCTCAACTCCCACAAGGGCGTCGTCGGCACCATCATCTGCAACGGCGAGGGCATCCCGATCCGCAGCTCCATGGGCCAGGAGGACACCGTGCAGTACACGGGGCTCATGACGACGCTCGTGCTCAAGGCGCGGCGGCTGATACGGACGCTCCCGGTCGCGCGGAGGCCCGCGGAGGAGGACGACCTGGGCATCGAGCACGACCACGACCACCACGCGGCGCAGGAGGAGCAGGAGCTGGAGGTCATTCGGCTGCGCAGCGAGAAGCACGAGGTGATCATCACGCCGGAGTTCAACTCGAAGAAGATGGACTTCATCCTCATCGTCGTGCAGGACCCGTCCGTCGTCTGACCGCGCGGGCGCGCTGCGTGTGAGCGTGTGCGACGAGAGAGAGAGACGCGGTGCGGGGCGGTGCGGTGCCGCCGGGGCGCCGGAGCGAGCCGCGCGCGTCGCCTCGCTGCGCAGCTTCACGCGAACGCCTCGCTGCGGGCCGTCGAGTCGTTCCGCACCGTTTGCGCGTCGCACGTCGCCCCGCTGCGCAGTTTGCACCTCCAGCTAGCGATCTACCTGTCTCGTTCCTCCGACCCCGCGTATCGTGCTCCTCTCACGCGCTCCCCCACCCGGTCCACGTCCTTTCGACCCCTCCGCTGCACCCGCACACTCCCCTTCTTGTCAGCAGACTCCCTGCCCCCCCTCCTCGCCCCCGACGCCCGGAAACCCGCACGCAGGACGTGACCCGCCCGGGCAGCGCTCACGCCGCCCTGTACGTCGCAGGAACCTCCTCACCGTCCACCTTCACACTCGCTCCCGCCTTGAACAAGAACCCCGCACGGATTCTTGTCGTTGCGCGCACACGCCGCGCCGCTCGCCGTCACCTTCACGCCGTCGGCCTCCGCCGCGGCACCGCCCGCGCTGTCCTCCAAGCGCCCCCCCGCCACCTCTGCGCACGCCCCCACCCGGCAGGTGATGCTCCAGGCGGCCGTGACGTCGTTGAGCGTCACGCGCGTTCCTGCGCCCCGGACCCGCAGCCCACTCATGCACGTGACCCTCGCACCGTTCTGCACTTCGACGCCGCTGTGGTCCACGTCGTATACAAAAACACAGAGTAGTAATTGACCACCCGCGCACGAAACGAAATGCGGGTGTGCTATAAAAACACAGGTATGACGCATCGAACGACGACCGCGAGCCCAAGAACACGGTACCGCAGCTGGCCCCGCGCCAAGATACATTTCACACGCCCGCACACCGCCCCTCCCGGCGCCCGCAAGCGCTACGAGCGAGCCCGACCCGGCAATAACACCCCCACCGCTACCGCTCGGTGACCGTGCCGCCCTGGCAGGTGAACGTCGCCGCCTCCCCGTTCCCGACGACCTTGCAGTCCTCCAGGACCAACGACGAACTCCCCCCCCACGACACCCCCCCGTACTTGGCATTCCCTTCCACGGAGCACTTCGTCGCCGCAACCTCCGCCCCGTCCATCGCGACCAGGCCAGAGCGCGCGTTCCTCGCGCATACCATGCCGCTGATCTTCGCGGCCGTGCCCCTCCCCTCCACGGTCACCCCGAACGACGCCCCGTCCGTGCACTCCCCCCCCTGGATGTGCGCACGCCCCCCGTTCAAAACGAGGACGCCGCACGACGTGCTGCGCGTCACGGCGACGTCCTCCATCTCCACGACGGTCCCGACGCCGTCCGCGAACACCCCGTCCGCGCCCGCCCGCTCGACGACGCACTTCGTCAGGGTCGCCAGCGCGGCGCGCTCGACGTGCACGCCCCTCCCGCCGCACGACTTGACTGTTACGTCGACCGCCGTGACGCTCGAGTCGGACTCCGCGGCTTCGATCGCCGTGACCGCGCACCCGTCCAATGTCGACCGTTTCAGGGCGCACGTGCCCCCACACACACGCAACCCCTGCCTGGAATTCGTAACGACCACGTCGCTCGCTCGCAGCCTGCTCCCGGCGCCGAACACGGTCAATGCCCCCAGGCAGCCGTCGATCTTGGCGCCGCGCACCCGGCAGGACGCGCCGGCCCGAAGCACGATCCCGTCACCCACAGGCTCCGTCTGACCCCGTCTGACCGACCTGGCGACGATCTCCAGGCCGGTGACGGTCGCCTTCGAGCTGCCCTCCGCCACGAAAACCCCCGAGCGCGAGATCGCGACCATCTTGCACGCGTCGAGCGTCAGCGACCCCCCGTTGGCCGCCATCGCGCCGTCGTTGTGGTTGTCGTTGCAGACGACGCGCGTCGCGACGATCTTGCCTCCGCCGTGCGCGAACATGCCCACGTAGCGGTTGCCGGCGCACGTCCCCGAGCGCTCGAGCTTCACTTCGGCTCCGCGCTGCGCCAGCACGCCGGACGTCCCGTTGTTGCCCGACCACAGACAGTGGGCGATGACGACGGTCTTCGGGCCGTCGGCCACGAGGCCCGCGCCCGCGTTCCGGTTGAACTCGCAGCCCATGGCCAGCACCATCGCCCCGTCGGACGCGCACAGCCCCGCGCCGGCACACGCGGCGTCGTCGCCGGCCCACGACGCCGCGGGCCGGCCCTGACCGCAGTCGCCGAACTTGCAGGCCTCGAGCACGACGCCCTGCGTGCCGCGGACGGCCACCAGCGGGTCGGCCGCGGCGTCCTCGGCGCCACCAACCTGAGAGAACTGGAAGATCAGATTGCGGCAACAGAAGTTGGTCGCGGAGGGTTCGACGACGAGGCTCCTGCACTTGAGCGTCCCGTTGAGGACCGTGAGGTCGGGGTTCGCCACGCTGCTGCTCACGAAGCTGAGCGTGCGCCCGCCCAGGTCGATCGTTGTGTTGCGGCTCCTCTTCAGGGCTGCGAGGAACTCGTATGCCGAGCCGACCTTGACGTTTCTGGGTGACGAGTGGGCTGGTATGTCGTTGTGCGTGCCAGGCGGTGCGCGAGAGTGGCCGGAACCGCCGTCGTCAGGACGTGGGGGCGTCCGCGACCCTCCGCGTTGGACTGATGGTGATGGGCCCCCGTCCTCAGTATTCAGCCCTTGCGCAGCACAGTGACTGGCTGGGTCGTCTTTCATCTTGTGATTGTAGCTGTTTACCGTAGACGTCAGCTCTTTCTCCCTGCGCCGCGGCCGGGACGGAGTGCATAGACAGCCAAGGTTGAGACTGCGTCCTGGAGCGCGGCAGTCCGCGAAAACTCAATCAAAACACGTGTCAACGAACGTGTCACTACGTGAGCGTGCGTTTGAGGGCTCACATGTTGCTACAACGGTCTACCGAGCGCGTTCGAGGGTCCCACTGCACCTGGTTGCGCTCTGCCTCAACGGCCTCCGAGGGACGCGGCCAACGACGACGGCACGCGCCCTGAACGGATCGCAACGGTCGTGAGCGCAGATGTGCACAGTCTGAGCGGGGCTTTACCGCCTAGAAGCGCGGGGGGACCCGGAATGCGGGGGGTTCCATCCGTCTGACTCAGAGGACGTTGGTTGGCATCATGCCACGGATGGTGGTCCGGCTGCGCCCGCGACCTAGTCGCAGCGCGCCTCGCTCCGACACACGCGTAGCACCACACCGATGGCAAGACACCACAAGTCCTGTTCTGTTGTTTGAAGAACAGAAGAAGACCCGAACCCTCACAAGGCGCGGCTCGAAAGCACACCGCCAAGCATTCGCTTCGCTCGAACCTGCCTCCCCAGCCCGCCGTCCGCTTCCACTCTCACTTCTGTCCGTTCATGCCTCAAACTCACACAATTCCTCCCCTTTTGTCCAGTCCTGCGTCTCTCCCGCGGAGAGAACCCCTCCTCGCCGCTCCGCCGCCCCACGTCCCCGGCACACCGTCCCCCCTCACTCCATCACCGCGTCCTCGTCCACCACGACACTCCCCCCCTCCTCACGCACGTAGTCCCCCCCCGCGTTGCGCGCGCACTCCACCTTGCTCACCGTCACGGTCGTCCCGGCGCCGCGCGCCACGACGCCCGCGCCCCCGCTGCCCGTCACGCGCCCGCCCGCCAGCGCAACGCGCGCGCCGCCCTCCGCGTCCACGCAGGCCACCGAGCACCCGGTGATGTCGGTGTCCGTCGTCCTCACGGTCGTGCCCGCCCCGCGGATCCCCACGCCGTGCTGCCCGCCGCTGATACTCCCCCCCCGCATGACGACACTCCCCCCATTGAACGCGCTGACACCGCACCCGCCGTAGCCGCGCAGCACGACGTCGGTCGCCTCGATCGATCCCCTCCCAGTGACGCAGAGCCCGTGTCCGGTCTTGGTGAACGTCGACCGCTCCAGCTGCAGAACACCCCCACTAAAGACGCAAGCAGCCGGTGCCTCCTCGTTGCCGACGCACACCACGTCGCTGGCGACCAGCCTGCTCGCGAACACGCCCAGCCCGGCGCTGCCCGAGATCTTGGCGCCGCGCACGGTGCCGCGCGCGCCGGCAAGCATCGAGACGCCGAAACGGGGCGCCCCAGTGATCTTCGCGTCTGACACAGACACGGTGCCCCCTTGTGCCGTGATGCAGCAGCCGTCGAACGTGCAGCCCTCCAGCGTCGCCGCGGACTCCTCAAGCACCTTGACTCCGACGTCGTCGCCGCGGAACACCGTCCCACGCGCGTGGACCTTGCCCGCCGCCATGCCGATGATGTTGCCCTCGCCACGCGACTCCAGGACGCACCCCTCCAGCTCGACCCGCCCCTCCGCCGACGCTGCTACGTCGCAGTACACGTTGCCCGAGAACCGCGAGTTCCGCACCGTCACCGCCACGGGGTCACCGCCGCACCCCGCCCACACCCCCGGGCCGCCGTTGTCGACGAAGCGGCAGTTCTCGACGCGCACCGTACCGTGTCGGACATGGATACCGGCCGCCAAGCAGCTGACGCTGGCACCGCTCAGTGCGGGGGCCAGCAGCCCCCCTGGGCCGAACTCCCCCCGTGCGTTGCGCTTGACAGACCCCCCCTCGGCGCCGACGAACGTGCAGCCCTCGATCACGACCCCGACCGCGCCGCGCAAGGACACCAGCGACGCGTTCGAGAGCCCGATGCCGCCGCCGTTGCCCCGCTCTGCCACGCCTTTGGGCTTCCCGGGCCCGCGGAACGTCAGGTTGCTCAGCCGTATTTTGGTCTCGCTGCCCACGGACCGCGACCCCTGGATCTCCACGCACCCGCCGACGAGCGTGCCGTTCGAGATCGTCGCGCCCTTGTCGTCGCTGAGCGCCAACCCCTGCTCACCCAGCCACACCGTCTGGCCGCCCAGGTCGACCACGCCGCCGGGGGATGACTTGAGCAGCGCAAGCAGGTCATGCACCGTGAGGTCGTACGGCTGCCTCGTGGGTCCTCCGCGCCCGCCCGTGGGTGCCGGGGCCGCGGCCCTCGTTGGCTTCGAACTCGGGCCACCCGCGCTCGCCTGGCCTCGCTTCGGGCCCTTCTTCTTGCTGCCGGGCATGGCTGCGTTGATTCTCGAGCGCGAGCGCGCTTAGCTCTCCGAACGACCTGCGCACAGCGCGCGCAGGGCCCTCGTTTCGTTACGAAAAGCAACGACGTCCCGCGCGGGCGCGTGGGGGCGCGCCGACGCGCATGACTGCGCTTGCCGGACTTGCGAAATACCGAACGCGCACCTGTGGCGGTCAGCAGCGTCGCGGCGACCTCCCCGCGCGACACGAAGCAGCTGCTTGGTGGTTTGGCTGCACGCGACTGCTCCCGAGCCTGAGCCGCTCGATCTGGACTGTCGAGCAGACCAGCCTGCCGTACGAAGTGCCCCGACAGCGCCCGTGCGCAGCGCCTCATCGTGCCCGCGAGCCCCCTGTGCCTGCTTGACTCAAGTCACTGTTATACCACCAGCGTCAGGGGTCCGCGCAAATGCAGCCCAGTCCGCGCCCGCCTCGAGCGCTGACACCTCATCATGCTGCGCCCCCAGGCCGGCCTCAGTCGCAGACATCTCGCCCCCGTCGCTGCACATCGTTTGTTTGTTTGAATCGTTGAGCAGCTCTCACCTCGTAGGACGTCTCGCTCCCGCACCCCGCCCACGGCGCAAACGACGGCCGGGACAGCGGGCGGGCGTGCGGAACGAAGCGCTGTTCGCGGTCGAACGAAACAGGTAGTGCTGGCGCGCGGTTGTGTCGATGCGCGACACTGTGCTCGGTGCGGAGGTCACACCGACCCGCCTGCAGCAGGTTCTAGCGCTGCAATCGTGCCGCGTGGCGCACGCGCTGCTCAGGAGCCCCTGTGCCGTGGGCGACTGCTGCGGTGTGCAGTGGTGCGGAGGCAGTCTCGCCCGCTGACTCGGCACCACGCCGCTCGCGGGGCTCGCGTCGGGACATGAATGTCCCAGACACTACGCTGCACCGCCGCGTGCGCAAGACGTGGTGTGGTCGGCGCTACACACGACGGCGAGCGCCTCTCTGCCGCCGCGCACCCACTGCCGACGTCGCCCTCCGCCCACTCTGCCCGCTCTCGCGCGCAGATGGACGCATCCCACGCTTCTCTGCCATCTCGGCATGCCGTCTCCTGCGCCTCCACGCGACGTCAAACGCCCCGTCTAACGAAACTGGCGATAGCCCCCACGCGTTTGCTGTGCGTGGTCAGCAGCGGCTGGCCACCGTATCTAGCTTAGCCGCCGAGCATGCGACGAGCATGCGGAGTCTGCGGTGCACGCGCAGCAATGTTGCGCGCGATGCTCGGCACCCGCACAAGCCCCAGCGGCACTCCCCGGCGGGTGGTTCTGTTTCCACCCCGCCGTGCGTCTACGCGCGCTTGACCGGGGCTGAGCGGTGCGCGCACAGCAGAGACGCATCACGAGTGTGCGTCGGCGTCGCTGAGGGCTCGCCGAAGTATCGGCGCGGTGCACGCAGGTAGGTGGCCCCACTGCAGTTGGCGGTGCACACAGCGGCGCGCATCAGCGATCGCACGCACACCGAGCTGGACCGGCAACTCGCTCGCGAGCCCCGCGCCGTCGCTCAGGCCTCGCCACCTGCCCGACTGTGCAGCAGATCACGGCCCTTCTGTGCTTCTCACACACGTGTACGACGGTAGCCCTGTTTGTCGTGTCAGCATCCCGCCTGTCCCCGCCGCCATCGTGTCCGGGCGTCCCTCTCCGTTCCCGCGCCCCCCTTCGTCACTCGTCCGCCCCAGCGGCCGCTCGCCACCGTTGCGGCCCCGCTCATTGTTCCACGTTCTGTCACGCTCCGCGCGCCGCGGCGCGCCCCCACACGAGCCCCTCCGTCGATCCCTGCGGCCGGGCACCGACCATGCGGCGCTGCGCATCCCCCTTCACTCCATCACCGCGTCCTCGTCCACCACGACACTCCCCCCCTCCTCACGCACGTAGTCCCCCCCCGCGTTGCGCGCGCACTCCACCCGGCTCGCCGTCACGCGCGTCCCGGCGCCGCGCGCCACGACGCCCGCGCCCCCGCTGTCCGTCACGCACGCGCCCTGCACCGTGACCTGCGCGCCGGCCTCAGCACTCACGCCAGCCATCGCACACCTGCTGATCTCCACGCCCCTGGCCGTCAAGCACGTCCCAGCCCCTCTGGCGGCCAGTCCAGCGACCCCGCCGCTGATGCCACCACCCTGCAAGGTGACACTCCCCCCCAGGGCGCTGACACCATGCCCCTTGTTCCCGTGCAGCTCCACGTCGCTGGCCTCGACCGTCGATCGCTCTCCGAACACGCCGATTCCGGCGCCGTTCTTGCTCAGCGTCGACCGCTCGAGCCGCAGGACGCCACCGCCCGTAACCACGACCCCAGGCACGTCCAAGCCGGGCAGGGTGTCTCTGCACACCACGTCGCTGGCGACCAGCCGGCTCGCGTTCACGAGGATCCCCGCGCTCGCCAGGATCCTGGCGCCGCGCACGGTGCCCTGCGCGCCGCCACGCAGAGAGATCCCGAACGCGGGCGCTCCGGTCACCGTCACGTCGGTCGCCGTCAGCGTAGCCCCCACCTCCGCCTGAATCGGACAGCCGTCGAACGTGCAGCCCTCCAGCGTCGCCGTGCCCCCCATTTCCGCCATAGCTCCGACGACGCCGTTGCGGCACACCGTCCCACGCGCGTGGACGACGCCCCCGGCCATGCCACTCAGATTGTGGCGACACTTCGACTCCAGGACGCACCCCTCCAGCTCGACCCGCCCCTCCGCTGACGCTGCTACGTCGCAGTTCACGTTGCCCGAGAACCGCGAGTTCCGCACCGTCACCGCCACGGGGTCCCCGCCGCACCCCGCCCACACCCCCGGGCCGCCGTTGTCGACGAAGCGGCAGTTCTCGACGCGCACCGTACCGTCTCGGACATGGATACCGGCCGCCAAGCAGCTGACGCTGGCGCCGCGCAGCGCGGAGGCCGGCAGCCACCCTGGGCCGATAAAGTCCCCCTGTGCATCGCGCTTGACAGACCCCCCCTCGGCGCCGACGAACGTACAGCCCTCGATCACGACCCCGACCGCACCGCCGCGCACGGACACCAGCGACGCGTCCGTGAGCCCGATGATGCCGCCGTCGTTGTCGCTTCGCCCTGCCACGCGCGTCAGGTTGCTGAGCGCCACGAAAGTCGTGCTTGTGTGGCGTTTCCCAGGGCCGCGGAACGTCAGGTTGCTCAGCCGGATCCTGGTCTCGCTGCCCACGGCCCGCGACCCCTGGATCTCCACGCACCCGCCGACGAGCGTGCCGTTCGAGATCGTCGCGCCCTTGTCGTCGCTGAGCGCCAACCCCTGCTCACCGACCCACACCGTCTGGCCGCCCAGGTCGACCACGCCGCCGGGCGATGACTTGAGCAGCGCGACCAGGTCGTACACCGTGAGGTCGTACGGCTGGTCCGGGGGTCCGCGCCCGCCCGTGGGTGCCGGGGCCGCGGGTCTCGGCTTCGAACTCGGGCCACCCGCGCTCGCCTGGCCTCGCTGCGGGCCCGCGGCTCTTTGCGCTTCCTCAACGACCATTTTCCGGTGATTTGCTGGGCGCGAGCGCGCTTAGCTCTTCGAACGACCTGCACACAGCGCGCGCAGGGCCCTCGTTTCGTGACGAAAAGCAACGACGTCCCGCGCGGGCGCGTGGAAGCGCGCCGACGCGTACGACTGCGCTTTCCGGACTTGCGACATACTCAATGCGCCATCACGCGCACCTGTGGCAGTCAGCAGCGTCGCGGCGACCTCCCCGCGCGACTCGAAGCAGCTGGTTGCTGTTTTCACGGAAGCGGCTGCTCCTGCGACACAGACTGCCTGGGCCCGCTGGATCAGGTCTGCAGAGCGCTCGACACGCTCCGAAGTGCCCCGGCAGCGCCCGTGCGGAGCGCCTCATCGTGCACGCGAGCACGCCATACAAGCCTGACTCCGGTCATGATCATACTGCACCCAGCGTCGGGGATCTCCGAACTTGGCATGCAGCCCGCGTGCGCCTCGATGCCTGGCAGCTGGTCATGCGAGCGTCGCTGTGTCAGTCTCGGACCCTAGCCCTGCGCATTGTGTTTCTGGAGAATGCGGGGAGCTCTCACCTCTTGGAGCACGCGCGCCCTGGGCATGTCGCTCCCGCGCCGCGCTCGGAGACGACGTCCGCAACAGCGGGCCAGCGCTGCGGATCGAGGCGCTGTTCGAGTTGGACGACAGAGGAGAGGTGATGCGCAGTTCAATTGGCTGAGGTGTTGGCGTTCAAGACCGAGGTCACAGCGGTCCGTCTGCGACGCCGCATGTCGCTGCTAGCCTGCCGGGTCGTGATGCGCCGCTCAGAGCGTGATGCGCGACTAGTGCGGTCGGCAGCAGCATGCCGCCACCGTGGCCCTACTGCCCGCAAACTCGGCAGGACGCAGCTCGCGGCGTCTCCGTCTGCAAGCAAGTGCACTCTGACGCTGTAATTCGCCGTCTCGTTCGCACCGCATGCCGCAGTCGGCCCCAGAGATCACGGCGAGCGCCTCTCCTGCCGCGCACCATCTATCGACCGCGACGTGGCCCCCCACCGATCCTGCCTACTCTCGCGCACGCAGACACATCCCCCTATACTTCCCAAAATCTTGCCATGACCGCTGCGGCGCTCCCATGCGGGACAACTGCCCCGTCCATGGAGACCTGCCAGTGAAGCAGTGCGTGGTCAGCGGCAACTGGCCCCGGCATCTACCTCCGCTGCTGACTGCGCGACGAGCATGTCGGTGCCGCCGTGGCCACGCATCAATGTTGCGCGCGATGCTCGGCACCCGCACAGGCCCCCCCGGCACTCCCCGGCGGGTGGTTCTGTTTCCACCCCGCCATGCGTCTACGCGCGCTCATCGGGGCTGAGCGGTGCGGGCACAGCAGCACTACATCGCTAGTAGGCATGGACTTCGCTGGCGGCTTGTCAGCGGGTCGGTGATGCACGCCAGTGGGTGACCTGTCTGCAGCTCGCAGTGTTGTGCTGAGAGGGGCGCGCATCAGCGATCGCATGCGCAACGGAACACGCTACCGGCTCACGCGGGAGCCTGGTGCCGAGCGGGGCGTTGCGCCAGCAGTTCAGCGTGACCCGCGGCCGCACAACGTCATCGAACCACAACTTTCTCAACAGAAGGAACGCGTCTCACACACACGTAGGACGGCAGCCCCGCTCTCTGCGCCTGGATCATCGCCGCCGCCGTCGTGTCCAGCTCTCGGTCTGCCCCCTCGCACCCTTCCACGGTCCGCTCCAGCAGCCGCCTGTGGTTGCATTGCCCCTCAGTATGCTGCATGCTCCCTCACGAGCCGCGCGATGACGCGATCCCGCGCGTGAGCTTGCAGTTGACCGTTGCGCTGCCGAGCGCAGACGCGCGGCGCTGCGCACCTCCCATCACTCCACAACCACGTTGCCCACGACACTCCCCCCCTCATCACGCACGTAGTCCCCTCCCGCGTTACGCGCACAGGCGACCTTGCTCACTGTCACGCGCGTCTCGGCGCCGTTTACCACGATGCCCGGCCCCTTGCTGTCCGTCACGCGCCCGCCCTCGAGCGCAACACGTGCACCTTCTTGCGCCGCGACGCACGCCGTCGCACACCCGGAGATGTCGGTGTCCTTCGCCGTCGCGCGCGCCCCCCCCGTCCCTGAGACGACTATGCCGCACCGCCCACCGCTGATGCTGCAGCCACGCATCTTGACACTCCCCCCTTCTTGCACACACACCCCGGTGTCGACATTGTCGTGCAGCTCAACGTCGGCCGCCTCGACCGTCGAGCCCTGCCCGACGACACAGATTCCGATCAGGTTCTTGCACAGCGTCGACCTCTCCAGCAGCAGGAAACCACCCCGCCCGACCACAACCCCACCCATGTCGGCGTTGTCTCTGCACACAACGCCGCTAGCGACCAGCCTCCCGCCGCACACGACGAGCCCAGTGCTGCCCGAGATTTTGGCACCGCGCACGGTGCCCCGCGCGCCGTCGGCGATCATAACGCCGGGCATGGGCTTGGGCACTCCAGTCACTGTCACGTCCGTCGCCGTCAGTTCGCCCCCAAGTGCCAGAATCGGACAGCCGTCGAACGTGCAGCGCTCCAGCTCCGCCGTGGACCCCGACGACACCGAGGCGCCGGCGTGACGGTTGCAGAACGTCGTCCCACGTGCGCGAACGTGGCCCTGCGCCATGCCCAGCAGGTTGACTCGACAAGCTGACGCCAGTACACACCCCTCCAGCTCGACATCCCCGCTCGCTGCGGCTGCTACGTCGCAGTACCGGTTGCCCCCGAACCGCGAGTTCCGCACCGTCACCGCTGCGACGTGGCAGCCGCACCCCGCCCACACCCCCGGGCCGTCGTTGTCGACGAAGCAGCAGTTCTCGACGCGAACGGAGCCCGTGCGGACGTGAAGACCCGCCGTCAAGACGCCTTTGTCATTGTTGACGTCGACAGGTCGATCGAGGCCTTTCCACTCCGCTGACCTTGCGGCGCCGACGAACGTGCAGCCCTCGATCACGACCCCGACCGCGCCGCGCACGGACACCAGCGACGCGTTCGAGATTCCGTAGCCGTCGACGATCGGCTCTGCCACCGCGGGCTTCCCGGGCCCGCGGAACGTCAGGTTGCGCAGGCAGATCCTTGACGTTGTGTTAGGGCCGACGCGGCGCGATCCCTCGAGGTAAACGAAGCCGTCGGGGAGTGTGCCGTTCATGATCGTCGCGCCCTGCTCGTCCCTGAGACGCAGCCCCCCCTTGAGCCACACCGTCTTGCCGCCCAGGTCCACCACGCCGCCGGGAGACGAGCGGAGCAGCGCGAGCAGGTCCTGCGCCGTGAGGTCGTACGGGCGGTCCGCGCGTGCTCCGCGCCCGCCCGTGGGTGCCGGGGGCGGGGCCACGGCCGTGGCGGGTGGCTTATGCTTCGAACTGTGGCCACCCTCGCTCGCCTGGCCGCGCTGCGGGCCCGCGGCCTTCTGCGCTTCCTCGACGACCATATCGAGATAGTTCCCGAGCGTGAGCGCGCTCAGCTCTTCGAACGACCTGCGCACAGCGCGTGAAGGGCTCGCATTTCGTGAAAGCAACGACGTCCCGTGCGGGCGCGTGGAAGCGCGCCGACGCGTACGACTGCGCTCTCCGGACTTGCGACATACTCAATCGCCATCACACGCACCTGTGGCAGTCAGCAGCGTCGCGGCGACCTCCCCGCGCGACTCGAAGCAACTGGTTGCTGTTTCACGTAGGCGGCTGCTCCTGCGACACAGACTGCCTGGGCCCGCTGGATCAGGTCTGCAGAGCGCTCGACACGCTCCGAAGTGCCCCGGCAGCGCCCGTGCGGAGCGCCTCATCGTGCCCGCGAGCCCCCTGTGCCAGCTTGACTCATACTGCAACCAGCGTCAGGGGCCCGTGACGACAGAGTCTCGTCCGCGCCCGCCTCGAGCGCCGACACCCGACCACCGCCGTGCAAGTTGCAGGCGCGGGCAGTCTCAGACCGTCCCTCAGCCTGTGTCTCACTGTGTAACACACGCGCACGCCGGCTGCACCCCTTGTTTCCGTGCCAGCATCATCTCCACCGCCACCGTGTTCGCGTCTCCCCCCCCTACCCTGCGTGCCGCGCCACGCCCGCATCCCGCCCCAGCAGCCGCCCACGGTCGCCGCTGCGACCCCCTCTCACCGTTCTACGCACCCTCTTGTTTCTCGCGCAGTCCGTGACGCGCTCCCGCGCACGCCCGTCCGCAGATCGCTGCGACCGGCCGAGCGTCGATCGCGCAGCGCCACGCCGTCCCCCCTCACTCCATCACCGCGTCCTCGTCCACCACGACACTCCCCCCCTCCTCACGCACGAAGTCCCCCCCCGCGTTGCGCGCGCACTCCACCCGGCTCACCGTCACGGTCGTCCCGGCGCCGTGCGCCACGACGCCCGCGCCCTTGCTGCCCGTCACGCGCCCGCCCGCCAGCACAACGCGCGCGCCACCCTCCGCGTCCACGCAGGCCACCGAGCACCCGGTGATGTCGGTGTCCGTCGTCCTCACGGTCGTGCCCGCCCCGCGGATCCCCACGCCGTGCTGCCCGCCGCTGATACTCCCCCCCCGCATGACGACACTCCCCCCGTTGAACGCGCTGACACCGCATCCGCCGTAGCCGCGCAGCACGACGTCGGTCGCCTCGATCGATCCCCTCCCGATGGCACAGAGCCCGTGTCCGGTCTTGGTGAACGTCGACCGCTCCAGCTGCAGGACACCCCCACTAAAGACGCCACAAGCCGGTGCCTCCTCGTTGCCGACGCACACCACGTCGCTGGCGACCAGCCTGCTCGCGAACACGCCCAGTCCGGCGCTGCCCGAGATCTTGGCGCCGCGCACGGTGCCGCGCGCGCCGGCAAGCATCGAGACGCCGAACCGGGGCGCTCCAGTGATCTTCGCGTCTGACACGGTCACGGTGCCCCCCTGTGCCGTGATGCAGCAGCCGTCGAACGTGCAGCCCTCCAGCGTCGCCGCGGACTCCCCCTGCACCTCGACTCCGACGTCGTCGCCGCGGAACACCGTCCCACGCGCACGCAGGCGGCCCCCCCCGGTCACGATGACGCTGTGCCGGGTGCCGCCCACCACACCGCCCTCCAGCTCCATCCTCGCCCCCGCGTACACCCCCGCGGCGCAGTACCGGTTGCCCACGAACTGCGAGTTCCGCACCGTCACCGTCACGGGCTCCCCGCCGCACCCCGCCCACACCCCCGGGCCGTCGTTGTTCACGAACCGGCAGTTCTCGACCGTCACCGAGCCCGCTGTCACGCGGACGCCAGCTGTCATGTCGTCGCTGACTTCCGCGCTGCGCGCGTCCTTCCCCAGCAGCCCCGCGTTCGCAAACGTGCAGCCCTCGATCACGACCCCGACCGCGCCGTGCACGGAGACGAGCGGCTTGCACGAGAGCGCGACCGTCGTCGGATCGACCGGCTTCGTCGCCGCCGCGCGCTTCCCGCAGCACCCGGGCCCGCGGAACGTCAGGTTGCGCAATCGGATCCTGGTCTCCGTGCCCGTGCCGACGGGGCCGTCTCCGTCGAGGGCCACGCAACCGTCGATGAGCGTGCCGTTCGAGATCGTCGCGCCCTGCTCGTCCCTGAGCAGCAGCCCCCCCTTGAGCCACACCGTCTTGCCGCCCAGGTCCACCACGCCGCCGGGAGACGAGCGGAGCAGCGCGAGCAGGTCCTTCACCGTGAGGTCGTACGGGCGGTCCGCGCGTGCTCCGCGCCCGCCCGCGGAAGCTGGGGGGGGCGGGCCGCCGGGCTCTGCTGCCCGTGGCCCCTTTGAATCGTGGGCACCGTCGCTCGCCTGGCCTCGCTGCGAGCCCTTCTTCGCACGCGCCTTGCTTTTGGTCATTTTCGCGGTGATTCTCGGGGCTCGGGCGCGCTCAGCTCTCCGAGCCGCCTGCACGTACCGCGTGAGAGGCCCTCCTTTGGAACGAAAATAACGACGTCTCGCGCGGGCGCGTGGGGGCGCGCCGACGCGTCGTGCTGCGCGCGCTGGTCGCGATGCATGCTAAAAGCGCCGTCACGCGCACCTGTGTGAGCTGGAAGCGTCGCGGCGACCTCCCCGCGCGACACCAAATGCAGCTGCTTGTTCGAGCAGGACGTGGCTGCTCCTTGGACGCACGCAGCCTGGACGCGCTGGATAACCCCGCCTTGTGCTCGCTCCGAAGTGCGCCGACAACGCTCGCGCGCAGCGCCTCCTCGGGCCCGCCTCTGAACGCTTGACTCATTTTCATACTGCAAGTCGCGTCAGGGATCCAGAGCAGGGCGCTGTCCCGTACGCGTCCGCCTGCGCCGTGCCAGCGCCGTGCCACACGAGCCCCAAACGCCGGTACTGTTGTATCGTCGCCGCGCAGAGAATGTTTGCAGGCCGAGTTGCGCGGCAGCAGCTCTCACCTGCGTGTGTTGATGTTCCCGGACAGAGAGCGTCGCCCCCGCGCCCCTATCCCATCGCGGCCAACGGAGATAAGGCCAGGAGGGCGCGGGGGAACGGAGCGCCGTTCGCGCTCAATGAATCAGGAGGTGGTGACTCGATTGCGTGTTCGACATCCAGGTCACAGCGATCACCTCACCTGAGCCAAGGGCCGCGAAGGACGCTCTCGCTGCCAGCCTGCTCCGCGGCGCAGCGCTGCTCGTGAGCGTCGTGGGCGCTTGGTGCGGCTCGCAGCAATGCCGCGAGGCGACCTCACCTGCGGCTGAGCATCACGCCGCTCGCGGCGCCCCCCCGTCAGGGGACGCAGGGGAAGCTTCCGACGCTGCGACACTGCTGCGCTGGCAACACTGGCTGAGCTCTGCGAACGCGACGACAGCGAGCGCGTCTCTCCCCTGCAGTGCAACAGGGATCGCCCGCGACGTGGCCCCCCGCCGCTCTTGCCTACTCTCGCGCACGCGGGCACATCAAGCACTTCTCATTCATCCCACGACGCCTGCTGCTGCGCCTTCACGCGACACCAGCCGCCCTGCATGACGAAACCTGCCAGCAAACTGGCACGGACTCGCCACGTGCGCCAGGGGGCTTCTGGGTTACAGCGCTGTATTGAAAGGAATGCACTGCGCGTCCGGAGCACACAGCAATGTCGTGCGCGGTGTCCGCTGCTCGCCGGTCTCCCAGCGGCACTCCCCGGCGGGTGGTTCTGTTTCCACCCCGCCATGCGTCTACGCGCGCTCATCGGGGCAGCGCGGTGCGCGCGCAACACAACTACGTCGCGAGCAGGCACGGGCTCAGCTGAACGCTCGTCGGAGGGTCGGCGGTGCACGCCAGTGGGTTGTCGGTTATGCTCACAGCAGAGAAGGCAGCGTGCAGAGCGGGGCGTGCGTCATCGAGTGCGTGCGCACCGGACGCGAGCTACTGGACGACTCAGCATCACGGGGCGCTGCTCTGCCGGCACGTTGCGCCCAGGTGCAGGCCTCGGTGTGCCCCCATGCTTCTTCCTCTCGCGCATGCACGAGGGAGATCAGGCGCGCATCCCAGCACGCAGAGACTACGAAGCTGTCGAGAGTGCTGTCGGGCTGCCCTCTACTTGCGTCCCTGTACGCCGTTTGCGTCGGGGGCGCACCTCCGCGCTCGCAACCACTAGCCAGTGCCTCGAGCGCCGAAACAAGGCCCCCGGCTGCGCTACAACCCCGCGTCCAGCCCGAAACTGACGCCGAGAGGCAGAATATGACGTTTCGCGCGTGGTTCGGCCCCTGGTGGTTGACGTCCGCCAACGCTCACCCTGCTCTGCTGTTGGTCCCGCGTTTCAAGGCGCGTGCGAGCTCCCCGTGCGCCTCGCGCTTCGCGGCGTCGCGGTAGGTACTGGGTCGCATCGAGCGTCGTGGCCGACGTGCACCTGACTCAACAGGCGCGTGTCGGTCACGACGTACATTGCGACACAATTCCTATGGCGATGCCGCTGAGCACGAGGACGGCTTGCGCGCGTTCCTGAGGCTCGGCGTCCCCCACCAGCTCCGTACACGCGCCCGCGCGGGTCCTGTGATCCAAGCCCTGACTCATGTTTGCAACAATCATAACATCGTCGTCGTGACGCACTGCGCATACTCCTCTTCGACTCTGGCACCGTCCGCCGCCTCCCTCAATGCGCTCTGCGTGCTCCATCGACTCGGGACCTCGCCGGGGGTCGCGGCACCCGCCACTGTCGAGCAGGCCCAGGTGCGCAACGTGTCTCTCGCTCCGGCGGCCGCCCGCGCACCGCCAGCCACAACCTGCGCTCGCGGCACGCGAGAGAACCACAGGCATGCGGCGGCACCGCCGCAAGCAACGCCGCGAGGCCACCTGTTGCGCGCGCGCGCGCGTGTGTCGCATGTACAACGTGCCTGTACCTTTACAGGACGACGCATCTACGCGTCGGGCCGCGCGCAGCGGCGACCGCCCCCTCTGCGCGTGGCTTGCGCTCCGTTCCGGCCCTCTCGCCGGCTCCGCGCGCGACACCCCCCTGACCGCTAGCACCCCTACTCCTCGCTCAATGTCCCCCCCCCCACGTCGCACTCGGTGGCACCCTCCCCGTTCCCGATCGTCAGGGTATCCTCCAGCACCACGCTCGAGCCCCGTTTCAACGACGCTACGCCGAACGAGTGGTTCTTTATCAGCGCACAGCTCCGCGCGACAATCGCGGCCCCTTGGGACGCCACTGCCCCGTTGAAGGAATTCCTCGTGAACAGCACGTCCGTCGCCTCCACGACGCTCCCCTGTCCCTTCGCGTGCACCCCGAACCAGTTCCCCGTCGACTCCCCCCCGGTCATTTTGACTCGCGCCCCGGCAAGCACCTCCACCCCCCCGAACCCGCAGTTCGTGACGTCGACGTCCTCCAGCTTGACCACCGTCGCAGCGCCCGCCGCGTGCACCCCAGCCGCGCGGCACTCCTCGATCTTGCACCGTCTCAGATCGACCGCCCCACACGCAGCGTGCAGGCCCTCCTTGCACGACGCGATCCGCACGCCCACCGCGGTGACGTTGCCCGGGACATTGGCCGGTTCCAGGTGGATGCCTGACCGGCAGTCCTCGATGGTCACCCCGTCCAGGAGGCAGGTCGCGCCTGGTTGAACCGCGACGGCAACGACACAGGATCGCACGACGACGCCCTCCGCGGCCAACGTGCTGCCGGGAGACTCGACGCTGTCGACGTACAGACCACCGTCGCAGTCGCGGACCTCGCCGCCGCGCACGGTGCACGTCGCGCCGTCCAACACAGACACTCCACACTCGCACTGGCATACCCTGGGCTCGGACAGCGTCGCGGAGGACCTCTTGCCAGACACGATGACGCCGATCTCGCTGCGGAGCATCTGGCACTGGTGAAGTTCGAGGGTGCCCCTTCTCCTCACCCTGGCGGCGACGGAGTTGTCCTGACACGTGCAGGCGTTGGCGACGATGTGGCCTCCCCGGCCAGAGGGACCCCCCTCGAAGTCCCACCCGACTGCGTTGCGGCTGATGGTACTCCTCTCGAGGCGGAGCACCGCGGAATCCAACGCGAGCGCGCCGGACTCGGCGTTGTCGGTGCACTCCAGGTCCTCCGCCACGACAGTGGTTCCAGTGCTTTCCGCGACGAGCCCGCAGCCGTGGATGCTGACGATGCGGCACTTCGTGACGCGAACGCTCGCTCCTTCGCAAGCCTGCAGCCCCGTGGTGAAGCACTCGGTGCGGGCCCCGAAGATATCCTCGGCCAGAGCCGTGTTGTCGCAGTTGCTCAGGGTGCAGGAATCGAAGACGACGCCTCGCGCCCCACTCACCGCCACGAGCGGCGCGACTGTCGCCCAGGAGAAAGCTCGCGGTGTAAGAGGCTGTCGAACGGGGTTGGCGGCCGCGGTGCCCGTGACGGTCAAGTTGCGGCAGCAAAAATTCGTTGCCGTGGCCGCGACGAGGATCATGCCGCATGTGATCGTGCCGTCGGCCACCGTCAGGTTGCGGCCCTTCACGTCGAGCACTCGGCCCGTCAGGTCGAACGTCTGCCCGCCCAGATCGAGCGAGCAGTTGCTCTTCTTGAGGGCTGTGAGCAGCCCGCCGCTCGTGGTGACGTCGACCCGCCGTCGCTGCAGCGGACCGTGCTGATCAGCGCACGCACGGCCCTCGGAGCCGTGGTCGACGACGCTGTCGCCCAGGGGCGAGCTCCCCTCGCATGGCGGCGGCTCGCTCTCGGCCTCGCCGACGGTGCGGTTGGCCGTGCGCCGGGCAACGTCGTCACTCATGTCCGCCGTCAGGTGTTCGACTGACTCGTGCTGAGCCTCTCGAGCCCTGCGGCGCGCTGGGAAACGGGCCAGCAAACAAAACCGTTGGGAGCGACCTTCGGGGCGACGTTGGGAGCGTATTTGTCCTTGCTTTGCGAGCAAGATCGTCGAACAATATTCAGGTGCCGCGGTGAAGCGCACCTGGTGCAGCCGGTCGAGGTCCGTGGAGCACACGAGGCACTTGCTCGACGCCTCGACGAGGGCGATGCACGGGAGTGGTGACCTGAGAACGCCCTCAGTCTCCATCAGAGTGATACGATCCGGCCGCGGCCTCGGCCACAGACCAGCGAGCGAGCGTCTCGCGCAAGGCACGCAGCCTGCGTCAGGGCGAGCGCCGTCGGTCGACTCAGCCGGGCGCGTGAGCTCCTTCTCCTTCGCCGCTCCAAGCAAGCTACTCGGGAGTATCGCCTCAACGCGGTGCTTGCACGCGCATCAATCCGCCTGCCACGCGAGCGCGCGTTGTGGCTTCGACAACAACAACAACAACAGTATTTGTGGTCTCGCCCTCACAGGGCACGTTCATTGGCATCCCCAGCCGCCTCTTAGGCCCCTCATTCGCACCATGCACTGCAGCAGCCCACACCGTTGATCCGCATCACCCCCCGCCTCCCACTGTGGCGCGCCTCTCATACCGAACACCCCCCCCACGCCGTACTACCCATCGACGATCTCCCCCCCCTGCATGCAGCACGCCCCCAGCCGCCCGTTGTCGATCGCCAGCGAGTCCCGCAGCACCACGCGCGACCCCTCCCCCCACGACAACACCCCGTGCTTCCCATTGTCCCGGAACGCACACCCCGTCGCCGTCACCTCCCCGCCGCTCTTCGCGACCAGCCCGAACTCCCCGTTCTGCGAGCACTCCATGTCGGTCACCGTCGCGGTCGCGTGCTCCCGCCCGTTGCCCTCCACGCCCATCCCGAACGACGCGCTGAGCACGGACTTTCCGCCCGTGATGTTCACGCTCGCGCCGTCGATGATCATGACGCCGCAGAACCCGCACGTGCTCACGTCGACG